CAGACTGGGCTCCACACTTCCTTACTACAGGGGTCCAGTGGCTGACCATCCTTCTGCAGTCCTCAGGGAACGTTCTCCAGAAAACCGCCATCATGCCCAAAATCGCAATGCCGGGTGAGTATGAGCCCAGGCCTCCACATGTGAGGAGCACTATTCTACAAGATAACAACATTGGGTAACTGTGAAATTACTGCTGCTATCACTGCTCTACTCAATTCCTTGGATTCAAATGGCTCTTGGATGTAAAAACTTTAATATTAATAATGTATTATAATATTTAAAAAAAACTTCTAATGGATTTCCATAACTGGGGCACAATAGTGACTCTGTATCCCATTTGTTATGGTCATAAATAAAGCAACAACAGCAGTAAGGGTGGTTCTGACAATTGCTTTGACAGCTTTAATGATGTGCTGAATGAGAGAGATGCTCAACTTTCCAGCTCAAGTCACATTTAAAACCTGGAAACTGTCTTGGAAACTGTCCTGAATGAGTACTTACATGGTTGTATCTATGCAGTATATACTGTATGTTTAATTGTAAATGCCATACATCATACCTATTTGCATAGGTCATATTTCACATGCCATAACTATTACATAATGTTGAACTTGGTGGTTCAAGTAGGCTATATATGATAAGATTCTGTGCAGTTGTAGGTCATGACAAACTTTTAATACAAATTCAATGAATAGTGTAGTGCATAGTGAACACATAGTTTTGTTGCAGGCTTTGCAGGCTCTGTGTCGTTGTGATGGTTGCTAAAGATAGAGCTACCTCCAAAAGGGATAGTGCAAACTACATAATGATGTCAAGAGTGTAAGGAAGAAGCTCAGTGATCTGAGCAGCTGCTGTTTGAGGAGCTACATTACAGTAAAATCAATTAAAGGTATTAGACAGGGCAGAGGGTAAAGCCTGCATCTGGTGTAGATATTTTGATGGAGAGATTGTCATTGTCATTTGTAGGTTTTAGTGGAACAGTGTGGGTCTTTTTATTTCTTTAATTTCTCCAAAAATGTTTCATATGTGATTAAGGACAGTTATAAAAAAAAAAACAATATTCAACTAAATGTCCTCATGTTGAAGCTTTTGCTCACGTGTTGAATACGTTTTTTAGAGAGAGCTGTGAATACACACATACCTGATTACTTGAGAGAAAAATTCGGCATAGAGAGTCATGTCTTCTTTCAAGGTTTCTCCTCCGTATTCACATATGTTCTGTCTCTCCCTTTAATCCTTACTGTCCCACCTCACTGGGACTTTACTGGGACATTATGGTAACCTGCAGAGGGAGGACGTAAGTATAGAAGTATATTAGACAGACTTCATCAGAGCATGGGTTATTTGTATGTTACTTTTATCGACACATCTTGTGAATCCTTTCTTCAACTGCAGCAAAATCTTGCAGATCATTGAGTTTTGTAACTCAGGATCCACTTTATGTGACTTTGAGGAAAAAACAACATTGAAATTATTTGTATTAATGTAATGTTCACTCTCAGGACTGTTCTCCAGCTGACCACATCTGTGACATACTGTACTGAAAGTGAACAGTTACATTAATGGTCTACTTTGTAAACTCATAAATGATACCAAAGATGAACCCTTATCTTTGATTATATGTCCTTTTTAGTGCAGCATGAATTATTTTGAATTCAGAACTGTTTTATTAAATACTCTGATCTGTATCTCTCACAGGCTCACACTGCATGGGAGCACTGATCCACAAATACATAAGCATGTGTAATCCCTCATTGTACAATATGTATTTAATAATTTTTTATAATATATAATCCATATATTTTAACACAAATCATATTATATAATCATTGATTTCACAACTGACTGTGTATTTTATTTATGAAAATCTTGAAAAGTTTTTAATCTCATTAAGTGACCTATTTAAAGAACTTATGTTTCTAACCCACATCGTTCTAACACTTTCTTCTCCTCTCATACTGGTGATGCTTCTACTCTTGGAAATTATCATATTCAGAGAGTAAGTACAGAGTGTAAAAACACCCAGAGAAATGCTGTGTCCTAGGCATGTAGAAAACATGTTTAGAAACTAGATAGTGGGTGTAAACGTGTCAAATATGAACTAGCACAGCAGTCTGACCATTCTGTTCACCACCAGACTGCCTGTGTGTGCTCATGAGGATGCATGATAGATATCTGTCTGAAACAACCTCAAATACAAACACTAAAGTAATAGAACTGTATTTAATGCATGCTCTATAGTGAATCAAGTAGATCTATAACACTTTCTATGTTCAACTTGTGGCTGCAACATGACAAGTAGCCTAGAACATTAAAGTGTGTAATAGACTGTACTGGAGTTTGTTTGCAAAGGATGATAGCCAATTTCACATGAACAAATACATTCTCCTAGAACATAGGGCTATGTAATTGTAACATGCAAAAGAACATAAAAATCTTTTGTATTGGGTATCACCTTTGCAAAGAAACTGACCTTTATGTAGTTAGTCTAATTTGGGGTCTTTGTATGCCTCATTGAGTCCTAGTTCTAGGATTCAATGAGGAAATTACAATAAATGTAGCATGAGAAAATAACTCCTAAATGTAGCATGAGAAAATAACTGAAATGTACAGATGAATAACTCTGTGATTGTGTGTTGTTCCGAACAGAGACGGATGACAAGATGCGGGCCTTTGCCGAAAAGGTCTTTGCAGCTGAAGTCAAAGATGAGAACGTTCGTGATGAGGTCTCCATGTTCGACGTGGCAGAGTGTCCAATCCTCAATCAGGAGCTGGCCAAGCATCTGCAAGATCATGATGATGTGGAGAAGCGGTGAATGATCTATAGATCCATAGTCAAATCAATTTATTAGTTCATTTGCTTAGGTACTTGCTGACTGATAGAGACCCATTGTTTTCTGTTCATCCACAGCAAGAGGCACCACCGTATCTGCACCATGTCCTTGCCTTCCGCTGCAGTCAAGAATGGAGACCCTCCCTCTGTAGTGTCGGTGCAGGTGGACACCCCCACATACCTGGAAGTACCGGACTTCCAGAGAGTAGCTGTCATTGGAGACTATGCTGCTGGGGTATTTAACAATGAACTCATTAATCATCATACAAGAAAATTTAAATATTGAACTTAAACTTGACTCTGCTGCTCAGGCCTACTCTGGTGTCTGCTCAGCTTGTTTACATCACTTTCTCTGCCTAAATCTGTGTGTGGCAGTGACCTCATTGGTCAAAGGTGAAGTTGAAGTGCAAGTAGTTAAAAATGTCTAACCCTTCAGCAATGTGTTGTTGTGAGGAGCACTGATCCTTGTTTAGGAATTGGAATTCCAGATGCTTCACAAGGGGTTGTTGGGTTTAGTCAGATACAAGTGAAAGTTTGTGTTAGTAAGGCACAAGAATAACCAAATGTTACAAATGTGTTCTATATGAAGCTCTCGGTTTATTTCTCAGGTGACCATGGATGACTTTGAGCTGTCCTGTAAAGGTCTGTACCGTGCGCTGACCATCAGAGAGAAGTACATGAGGTTGGCCTATCAGCGCTACCCTCGCACTGCCTCCACATACCTGCGCGAGATCGAGGGAGAGACCTTCAGACCTGAGGACCAGGTGCAGCCAGGTGAGCACACACAGAACAGGAATCAATAGGAATCAAAAGGAAGACAAGATTATTGGTGTGCGAAGATAATGAGGCACACCACACTTTTTCAGCATTTTGGATAGAAAGGAGGAAAGATATTAGTTAAAAAGCAATATAATTTATAGGTACTTAAACTTTTTATCTGCTTTAAATCCAGTGTTCACTCCTCCTCCGAAGAATGGAGAGGACCCTTTTGACCCCAAGGACCTTCCTCCAAACCTGGGCTACGTGGCCCGCATGAAGGATGGCGTGATCTATGTGTACAACGACGCTGCTGCTGCAGACAAACACCAGCCCAAAGACCTGCCCTGCCCTGACTATAACACCTTCATCGATGACATGAATTTCCTCATTGCTCTCATCGCACAAGGCCCAACGTCAGTACTCAAATACAGTTATATATTACTATTGTATAAATATATTAAAATATTAAAATGTGTTTTGGGTTACAGTAAGACTTACACACATCGTCGTCTGAAGTTCCTCATGTCTAAGTTCAATGTGCATGAGATGCTGAATGAGATGGAGGAGATGAAGGAGCTGAAGATCAACCCCCACAGAGACTTCTACAATGTCAGAAAGGTGAGACTTTACACTGTGAATACCAACAGTATAAAGTTTAAGGCACCCCCTAATCTTATTCCACGAGTCGTGGAAATCCTACTTTTGGATTTTTAAGAAGATATTTGTATGGTGCTGAATTGAGTGAAGAAAACAAATCATATAGAGATTCTGCTCTCAGTTCTTCTCTAAACAAAACTATAAAAGCCATCTGGTAGCAGGGAAAACTGTAGCGTTGTAATAGTGCCCTCTTCTGATCAGAGAGTGCTCTACATAACATCTCTGTCTTAAAACCAGGTTGACACTCACATCCATGCAGCTGCCTGCATGAACCAGAAGCACTTGCTGCGCTTCATTAAAATGTCTTACCGTCGGGATGCTGACCGAGTGGTCCACAACCTCCAAGGTCGTGAGGTCACCATGAAGGAGCTGTTTGAGTCCCTCAACCTGCACCCTTATGATCTGACTGTGGACTCCCTGGACGTGCACGCTGTATGTTCACTCACACAGTACAAACCACAAGGGCTTTGCTTTCATATGTTTATGTTATTGTTGTGTGCTTGAAGGGCAGACAAACCTTCCAGCGCTTTGACAAATTCAATGCCAAGTACAACCCTGTGGGAGCCAGTGAGCTGCGTGACCTTTATCTGAAAACAGAGAACCACATTGGAGGAGAGTACTTTGCCACCATTATCAAGGTAAGTGGGATAAAAACCAAGACAATGTTTTTATCTGCCAAGAAAATCTAAATGAATAAGCCTTACCATGAAGCCAAAGCAATACTGCCTTTATATAAACATATATCTGTATTAAAATCCACATTTGTTCAAACACAGGAATACATCTTTGTTGGATCTCAATATATCAGGCTCTGTTCTTTTTATTCTTGTGAAACCAGGAAGTGGCTAGTGACCTGGAGGATGCCAAGTATCAGTATGCTGAGCCTCGCCTGTCCATCTATGGCTGCAATGCCAACGAGTGGAATAAGCTCTCCAGCTGGTTTGTCAAGAACAGAGTCTTCTCACCACAACTTAAATGGATGATCCAGGTCCCTAGGATCTAGTAAGGCTTGATGTTTTATTACCAAAATTTGATAATTTTCCATTGGCAGTATAAAATATTCTGTCTCTTGTTCAGTGACATCTTCAGAGGCAGAAACTTTGTGCCCCACTTTGGAAAGATGCTGGAGAATATTTTCCTGCCTGTGTTCCAGGCCACCATTGACCCTCACTCCAACCCTGACCTCAGCCTTTTCCTGAAGCATGTGAGGGCCACAGCTTGTACTGTTTCTTATTCATGCCCACAGTCAAAAACATATTCAACTACAATCACTTTATTTAGCAGCATACACTGAACCTAATTATGGTCTTCTCTCTGGACTTTGCTGTGCAGGTGACAGGCTTTGACAGTGTGGATGACGAGTCCAAGCACAGTGGACACATGTTCTCCACTAAGAGCCCCAAGCCTGAGGAGTGGGACATTACCAAGAACCCCTCCTACACCTATTACATTTACTACATGTATGCCAACATCGCAGTGCTCAACCAGCTCCGCAAGTAAGCATCTGTTCACTACAGACATCACATGTCATAAAGAACAATAATCACTCATTCTCGTTTGGTCTTCAGACAGCGGGGTATGAACACATTCATGTTCAGGCCTCACTGTGGTGAGGCTGGAGCCATCACCCATCTGCTCGCCTCCTTCATGACAGCTGACAACATCTCCCACGGCCTCAACCTCAAGAAGGTCAGCTCATTTACTTGATTGTGGTAGTTTGCGTGTTAGTGCATACATACATAATGGACTTGATCATGTGATGTAAATCATCTGTATCTCCACCTCCAGAGTCCAGTGCTGCAGTACCTGTACTTCCTGACTCAGATTCCCATTGCCATGTCTCCTCTGAGCAACAACAGCCTGTTCCTGGAGTATGCCAAGAACCCTCTGCTTGAGTTCCACCAGAAGGGCCTGATGGTGTCTCTGTCCACTGATGACCCCATGCAGTTCCACTACACAAAGGTCTGCGCCACAGGAAGCCCATGTTTGATCACAGTGTACACAAGATCTATTCAACACTCAATAGGACATCCGGCCATAGAATGCTATTGAACTACATTGTTTGATCAGTCCTGCTCTGTAATGCAGACGTGTAATGTACAAGTATGAGACTAAATACTTTGTGTTCACAGGAGCCCCTGATGGAGGAGTATGCCATTGCAGCTCAAGTGTTTAAACTTAGCACCTGTGACATGTGTGAGATTGCCAGGAACAGTGTTTTGCAGAGTGGCTTGTCTAATGAGGTAAGAAGACCGTCGGGACCTATATTGTTAATCTGCCAAAACCAAAATATATCCTAATAGCAAAATAAAACCTACATAGCCAATAATAAATGAATAAACAACATTTTCTTTTATCTTGTAGGAAAAGACACACTTCTTGGGTAAGGATTACCTGAAAGAGGGTCCAGAGGGAAATGACATCCGTAAGACCAACGTGGCACAGATCCGTATGGCCTACCGTTATGAGACTCTGTGCTACGAGCTCAACCTCATCAAGGATGGCATCAAGGGCGAGTGAATAAACTAAGAGTAAACTAAAGCCTTAACATTTAAAAAAATTGCTTAATGTTAGTTTCTTAACTTGTGACCCATGTTGTATGATTTGGAAAATAATGTTCCCTGTAAATTTAATACAACTTCTTGCCCTTATTTAATTTATGAAATTTTACAACAGTATGTATAATTAAAAAGATTACGACAACAAAACAGCTTTTGTTATGCTTTTCAATTGTTCCTTTTGTTAACAACAAGTGGGCTATTTGAAGACATTTTGACATTTGGGACAAAAATTTCTATGTCGGTGTCAGTGTCTGTATCTGTGTCTGTGTTTTTCTTTCTCTATATCTTACTTCTTACCACACCTGACAACACAATAGCTGCTTAAAATGTGCCTCTATCACAATTAGTGAGAAATGGCCTATGACGTCATGACTAAAGCAGGCCCAGTGTTGCATATTGTTCAGTCTTGGGAGAAGAGGGCTCTAGAAGCCAATCTAGGCTGCCCAGTGTCTGCAGCGCTGGGCATGGTGGTCTCTAGGCTGCACCTTAGCGTAGTGGGTCCTTGGCAGTTCTATTTTCAACTTAGTGAAGGTTTATGGTTTAAATAATTAAAAATATCACAACAGAAAACAATGAATAGTTGAGGTGAAGAAATAATAAATATCGAAACTGAAAATCCATGTGTTTTTGTATTAAGTATTTGTATATTAAGTATTTAAGTGCATTGGTCTTACGGTTGTATCCTGTGCTTTAAGGTGAGGACTATGAACAGTTGAGCACAGGGTGGGTTCTAGCATGAACACTTTTATGTGACCCACATTCATATGTGTCAACACATCTCTGATAAAACAATAGCAGGAAAGTGGCAAAGTCTTTATTTAAGGCCCAGGCCCACAGTCATGAATGTAAATTGTGATTCATGTTGTCCAATACCATTTATACCAGACCAGTGCGGTGGTCTGCATTAAAGGGGCTGGACACTGGAGAGGCTGGAATTATTTTAATTGAAAATTGATTCAGATGGGCACTTATTTTTATTTTTTGTACACGTATTTGCACAGATCTTTTAATAAACGTTACCCTGCGCATAACGTCCACAGTGATTAAATAAAAAAGTTCTCTTAACTTTAACTCTCACCTATTGTAGTTTTCCATCATTGACTGTTGCCGGGTTCATGCCGTGTCGATGACGTCCTCCAAGATTTCTTAACTCGGAAGTTGGTTATCCAAAAGTATTATCCTTTCATAATATGGCACGGCAACTACTTTTTGTCCTATTTTATTATGCGTCACGTATGTGTGTTTGATCAGTGGTTGCTATAAACAAATATGAAAAATAAAGGTTGAGAATAGAGAGCTCACAAAAAAGACATTTCTATGACCATGAAGGTTTACATTTTATTTTGAAAAATTAGACCGGAAACACTGCGTTGCTCATTGGTAGCTCGATCGTCTTCTGATCGGGGGCGGTGAGGAGGAGTGCAGGACCGCTGTGCTTTTCTCATTTTCCTCTGAGCAATCTCTCCGTCGCGCATACTTAGGTTTCACTTGGACTTTAGTTTTGTGAAATTCAAAGTCAGTATTCTTATAAGTTAACTTAGGTACAGCTACGTGGCTAAACCCCAAAATCCTCTGAATTGAAGCGGAGTGTGGATTTCACGTGTTTGCGTTTTTCATCACACCAGACTGGAGATGAATCTTCTGAATTGCTTCTAGCCGCTTGGTAAGTAAAGGGATGGGCTATATGCTTTTGCTGTGTGAACTTATACTTTATTACTTTCACTTTAAGAAACTTTGTACTTTCACACCATCCACTCATAAGCCTGCTCTTTTTACTCGTGGATAAACAAAATGAACGGGGTGTCATCTTCTATAGTCACTTCTATCAATCAAAGACCTTTATCTGGGCCAATATCTGTAACTACTGATTGACTAATTTATGCCACATATTCCTCTCCGTCATGATAAGAAACACTTGTATATATTTGTAGGAAACAGCCTAATATAGCCTATAATGTTAAAGGTGCATCATGTAACATTTCTGGTGGACGGTCCGCCGCTATGTTCTTGTCTCCATGGAGATGTTATTGTTTTCCTGAAATGTTCCCAATATGATTTTAAACATGTATATACTGGTTTATTAAATTACAGATGTTGTTATCGAAAAAAGTCACCTGTTTGATACATACTAGTGAGATATTTAAGTTTAATGCTATATTGTGGAACATTCCATAGAGACAAACACACCCTCTACCAGAAAAGTACATAGTGCACCTTTAAGGAATCATTTCCAACATCACATACACACTGTTGTGAAGTAAATAAAGTGACATCATGACAGATTGTGATGTGATAAATGTGGCTTTGGTTTAAAAAGCAATTATCGATTACAAGATCTATGAGTTTTTGCATGTTCGTGTGAAGGTACAGTGGGATAAGTTATGCAATGTTTCCCTGTGGTGGCTCAGGCAATCCTTGTTTTGGAAGAAACACATTTTTGAGGTAAGGATGTCACCTATTGCCTCTAATCATCCAAAACAGGCCGTATATATCAAAGTTAATACAACAAGCACAAGCAAAAAGTGTTATTCTTAATACCAGGTAATTGTTCAGTTTGATTTAGACTATGGAGACAAACATTTGTCTATGGGTGGGGATGTGGGGGGTTATGATTATCCTATAAATGCATTCAACTACCCTAAATTATCTTTCACTATTATGTTTATCTAAGATTTAGAGTAACAAAGTCCACTATTGCGTCAAGCTGTCTCACTACTATACCTCAATGCTGGGAATATTACAAAACACTGGACTATCCCTTTTCAGATACATGCAATAAAGTCACTGAAAGATGAGGTCAGTGGTTCTACAGCCAGCCTCTGTTTGCAAATGATCTGCACGTGTTGCCAAAAGTTGAAACTACAGATTAATGAGTAACCAGGAGCAACTGTTTATATGAGAGATGCATATTCCGTGTCTGCTTAAGAATACAATAAACCAAAGATCAAATGCTGATTTGTGTTGTATGCTATTTTTCAGCTAACCCATGAGATTATAACAGTGCTTTCCACACCCTTTTGCAACAAAGAGTAGAAGATGTCATGTTAGTTGGAGCGTTACTCATCGGGAGCACAGACTAACTGCTAATGGACCAGTCATTTTAAGGTGAGTTCTTTTATGCACATGTTCGGCAAGCCTACATATTTTCTTTATTATAGACTCAACTGTCACTGTTGATAGTGAAGCATGGTTGTACAATGGCTTTACACCCAGGACTTGCTGTGTCTTGTCTTGGTGCACACGGAGGGCGGTTTGAGGCTGTTTTTAAGGTGCTATTAAGTTGAATTTAGCTGCCAGGTGATGACGGGGTAACGCAGGCTATATGATAGTTCTGTCTGGTTTCTCCGAATGAGTCAGAGAGTTTCTCTTGGTAGGGCTTCTACATTGTTGTTGCTTGTTAAATGTGATATTCATGTTTGTTGTGGTTTGATAAAGAGCTGAAAAAATGGAAGAGACAAGGAGTCTGCTGATGTTAATACAATCTGTAGTTTCTCTATGTTCAGATAAATTCCACTCTTTTTGATGACACATAATTATTTTGCAATCTGTGCATGGCATAATGACTCAAAATGTATCTAATTTCTCATAGTGGTGAAACTAATTATTTGCAGTTTACATGTTGTTGGAGTGAACAGTTGTCTGTCAATCCAACATTTGTCAAGACAATTACTGAATACTAACCAATGATGCACTCCTAATGCTAAAGCTCAGTTTCAGATAGGGCTTGGCGATATGGATCAAAAAATATATCTCGATATATTTTGCTATATCTCGATATACGATATATATCTCGATATATGTTCAAGAAAAAATAACCCCCTAAAACTGAAAACTGCAAAAACAAATCTGCCAAATTCCACAAGGTCTTTTTTTTAATTGAAGTGTAAGAGGTCGGCAGTTCATATAGGAACATTTAAGAATACAAAAAAAACTAATTACATAAATAATAATTTAACTGTAAAATAAAAGAAATAATACATATTTCCTTCTTTTCATTCATAAATAAAACAACTCAAAACAAGCTTATCTTTGCATTAACTCTGTTATCCAAACCAGAAGCAGAACCATGAGCTCATTTAGCAGAAGAAGCTCAGGATGTTCCTTATTTCAATAGATCCATGTTATTATCCAGCAGTATGGAGCTCTGAGGTTTAATCCCACAATCCACTGCAGATCAAACCCAACGTTTCCAAACACTGTTGTACAAGTGACACTGCAGCAGATTATTAATTAAAATATTCTGCATAAATAAACTTTACATTGCTAAACTTTACAATATATAAAACATAACGACTCTAGAGCCACATCAGCCTGTTTGCGATAATAATGTGTTTAATGTAGTTTTGCGCACGTGTGTTTACATTTTACAGAAACGAAACTTAAGCGCATGGCTCATTTGCATAAACAGCGCACTTCTCATGCAGCTCAACTCGTTCAGCTTCTTTCGGGCTAAAGGACGCGACTCGGTGGAATATGAGGATGTGCTGCTGGTGGTTTTGTCTGTAAATGGTGGTAAAGGTTCGTGGTGCTTGAAGCTTTTCACTGGCACCAACTTTCGGCGTTCACGGCGATAGTGACGAGTGAAGGAGACACGAGCGAACAAAATCAGGGAGGCGGAGGCGCGCGGAGGCGACGAGAGAGAAGACAAACAAGCGAAGCGGCGAAATCAGAATTGAATATAAGCATTATATCGATATATACGATATGTCAGAATTCATATCGAGTTTAAAAACTATCTCGATATATTTAAAATATCAATATATCGCCCACCCCTAGTTTCAGATGTTCACTTGTGGCCTCTAATGAAAAAATTTGAGAAAAAAATCATGTATAATAAACAAATAAATGCAATTCTTACCAGTTTCTACCAATTAGTCCTCCCAGAAATGTCTACAATTTAGTTGCTTATTGTAGAGAACCTAAAGTGTCTTTTCAACAATCACCATCCCAGTATATCAACAACTTAAACTTAGCTCAAATCTGTGGTGTGGGTGTAAAACCTCTCACTATAATTATGGACACCGCCGCTCTTTCTTCCTGGCGCTCAGGAAACTGAGATCTAGCCTTCCTGTATCACATCCCGAACACCAGACAAACAAGGCAACTGGGTCATTTTGAGATCCGTGTTGTGATGGCACAGCATTCCAGCACACATTTCCATTGGATTTGGGTCAAAACAGACAAAAGCGTTACTTAGAGTCTGGATGCCTAATTCTGAACCCCCTGACTCTGTTCTGCTGCCTGACAGGAATGCAGCTTATAGAATTATGATGGTCCGGACCAGAGCCATGGATGAAGCGCCTGTCTTTGTGTGATTCAAGTGTGCAACGTGTCCAAGAGCTTTGCTTCCAAACAGACGGGAACAGAGCAGTGAGCAGTGAGGTGAAGATTGAAGGACACTAAATTCATCCCACAGCTGGAAAACTTGTGCAACTTTTTGAGGAATTCTTAAGCTTACCTTCTAAATATCAGATCTAAATTTAAATAGTGATCACATCATATTGATAAGAATCTCAACCAATCCTCTAATCCCAAACCAGGAGCATCAGGATGGCCAGACTCCCCTCTCCCCAGACACTTACTTCAACTCTTCTGTGATATTCTATTCTTGGCCTATATAAAGGGTTAGTGTTTAGTTACAACTGTGCCAAATAGGACACTTGTCCACAGAGGATATGTGAATTGCTTTTTGTTGTCTGAATTAGGCGTCAGTGGAGTAAATTAGATTTCATGCTTTCGTCAAGCCATCAGAGATTGCAATGGTCTTTTTGTAATCATCCAGAAGATAGATGGGTATGATCTTAAGATTCAAACAAAGTCTTTGATGGCCATGTTTAATGTGGATGTGAAGAAAAACTTGTGGATATCTCTTGTGGATATCTCTGTTGTTGCTATGTTTGTCTATTTTTGTAATCTTAAATTTAAAGTAATGTAAGTCAAAATCATAACTGCAGGATGATGAATTGCCCAAATGTCCTCAAAAGACCACAGTGGGAGCGTGAGGTTGAAGGACGATCATTGCCACTTGCGGTTTGGAGCGCTGTGGTTGAGATGACACATAATACCCCTTTCCCTGGGGGCATACACTGAAACAGGCTTTTAGGTCCTCCTGCAATTTTGCTGCTGCCTTCTCTTTCTTCTCTTTCTGGATTTATTTTTGGATGCTCTGACCTTGTCTGTTCAGAGTTTATGACCTTCACTCCCTCTCCAGCCACAGTTTTGTTACCTTCCCACATGTGCAGGTTTCTAGTGTTGCCTCATCATTATCCCTTTGACCCCGTGGAGTGCTGCATGGACTTGTTTTGTAAGTGTGGAGTGATTGATGACTCATTTAACTGTCCTGTCTTTTTTCCTAGGTTGTTTACGTGAGAAGAGGGAAGAGGAAATGACACAGCACTAGCAAAAATACAGAAGAGACCAGTGATATCATCTGCTTTAATTAAGAACAGATAAACTGGCCTTTTCTGTACTGCAATGGTGGAGTGAGCGTGCTTGGACACTTGCCCCCTCTGAACATGCTAGCTCTGAGGCAGAACCAGAGCGGACGAGAGGGTGGGCAGATTCATTGTCCTCAAAAGGGGGCCAAAATGGGGCTTCAGACAGGACGCCCACCGCTACAGGAGCACGGTCTAAACATCAGGGAAAAGATCTCGCAGTGGGAAGGACGTAGCCAGCAGAACCAGAATCAAGACGTGAAACTACATACACCAGTTGTGTCTCGGGACTACAATGGCAACGGAGTTTACAATACAAAGACTAACATTTCAAATACAGGCGTGGGATTGGACTTTCGGGAAGTGAATTTAAAGCCTACCACAGCTGGAAGGAGGCTGGATCCCAATCGAAAATACTCTACAGAGTTGATAATCCTTCAACCAGAAAGCAAAAATGCATTAGAAGCCATTAAATCAGAAACTTTACCTACACAAACTTATACAACAAATGCAAAAATATCATGTGTTTTGGATATTGGTATTGTTTCCAAACCTCTACCTCCATCGGGAAATGAGGAAGAAGACGGAATGCCTGCAGGGAATTTTTACACTTCTCGAGGATTCTGGAAAAAACTGGAAGGAGACAGGTTAATGTGGGAGAAAGGCAAGGGGTCCACAGGTGAGACTCTGGCTCCTCCCAAACCACAGCGCACATTCCAGTATGATGGACCCAAAGACAGCAACAGAGCGCGTGCACAGACGAGTCCCTGCAGACTGGCAAATCAGAGAGGCAGCCGCAAGCTACGCCCACCTAACTTCCCGCCTCCTCCTTGTCCGGTGTCAAAGACCAATGGGATTTCTAGACACAAAAAAAACAGGTGAGCGCATTCACTAGCCTCCTCCTGGATGATTGTGTTGTAAACAGGCTTTGTCAAAATAGGTTTCAGTGTATTTTTGGGGAGGTACCTGCTGACTGAGGTTCAAGGATGATGTCACATGACCTAGCAGTGTTGTTGTCTATTGTCACACGTGGCCTAGTTTCGTAGAGCCCTCATGGTCGTGCATACATATACAGGCTGTGAAAGGGAGAACAGAGCACAATTATTTGGAGTAAATGGAATAAATGATTTCTATATGTTATGGCCTGCCAAATGAATGGTCTCCTTCAGTTTGTTGATTGCCCTTTTTCCATTACCAAGATAAATAAAATGCTAACATCACATTAGCAAATAGTTTTTTCCTAATTTAGTCTTTAGATTAAAGAAAATATGGGTGGGTGCAGGTCTCCAAAAATGGACCCGGCAAGACTCGTGCTGTAGGGCTCCATTACAGAATAAATTAATCTTCAGTTCGTTACATAAAGAGTTTTAAGAAGGATGCAAAAAGGGTTGTAACTGTCTTGTCTGAGAAAAGTGTATAAAGTGTGTGGTGAGGGGTTTTACAGCCTTAAAACATATATAATAATTGTAAAATATAAAGCTGACTACTTCGCGGATTTCGCCTATTGCGGATTATGTTTAGAACCTAACCCCGTGATAAATGAGGGACCACTGTATATTCTTCGCCAAAAAGTCCACCTGCATTCAGGGTCTAAATAATCATAATCAGAAGCAACTGCTATGGACTGCCAAATTACTGGTCTCCTTCAGTTTGCTGATTGCCCTTATTCCATTATCAAGACAAAAAAAATTGCAAGTAAGACTTTTTTCAATTTTTTTTTTTTTTGTTGTTGAGGAAAGTAAATCTAAACATCATAAGTCAGTATATCTTTACACTATTAAAACAGACTATAACACAAAAGCTAAAACTGCTGTTAATATTTTTAATTTAAACATACTTCTAATGATTTCCTGTGAAGTATTGTCATAATGCCATTGAGAAAGAAACTGTCCCACATGCTGAGTCGGCCTGGTTTTGGTATCAACATAGGTCTGTAGTGGTGACATAAACAATAGAAAGTGGGATCTCGTTGGTCTGCTCTCACCCCCCTGCTTCCTTTCGCCACCACAGGAAGTCTTTTGAGTACGAGGATGCGGAACGACTCACGGCCAAGCCGGGCAAGCAGGGAGGAGAAACCAGGAACTCCAACCTATATCACGCCTACTCTGATGACAACATTTATGAGGACATTGTCTGTGAGTGTCTAGCTATGCTTAATTTAGATGGACACAATAGTGAGCCACTGCACAAGAGAGAAATAAAATTCATATACAGCGTCAGTAAAGTTCTTTCATTTATTAGTATTAGGATGTATTTCTTTGGTTGTTTTAAGATGATTTCTGCCTATGTGTCAAAGATGGCAAACGAACAAAAGTCTCACTTTAAAATTTTTGTGTTATTGGCCTCCTGTAGTCTGCAGGGGTTCATTGGGTCAGCGTTCATAAATTACTTCACACTGTGTAGAAATTCGCTCCACTTTCTATACATTGGTCAAAATGCCAGTGGGTTAGCCAAGTACTGAGTTTGTTTGTTCAGGATATCTATAAATAAATACTTTATACAATTGGCTAATGTTCTGGTGGTGAAGAAATTGTTGCCAAGCACAAATATTAAGTTGAAATGGCTACATGCCTGTGTTTATGTGGTGGAAACTATGTCTAGGCCTGGCTCCATAATAATATATTAACCCTTGTATCTCCAGGTGAAATGGAGGTTGACGACCCCTATGAAGACATCAAAGTGACTCCCATGTGTCTTCCCATTGGCAGGCCTCCACTGCCAAAGGTAAATATACACCTTTATGTGAGCCCAATGGTTCAAGTGTACCAAAATATAATGACAATGTGTAGAAGTATGTGGATTTAAATTATTGTAGACGGCATCGAAGCCCAGATGAAGACGCAAGTCAAAATGCATTGACATGAAATAAAATTATAGCCAAGCATATCAGAGTGCCGTGGTTCTCTTCTTTCATCTAGTAAGTTATTCCGCCCACTCGGGATATCCAAAGAGCACCTGATTGTTACTTCACTTAGCTGTGATCCAGTGAGCACTCCAGCTACATCTATTTCTTTCCACATATGTTTAAATTGTTATATAAATGGCACAAATTAAACTTCTCAGTGTTTACTTTTGTTACATTAATAATGAGAAAATCACAAAGTTTCATCTCACATTACTATAGGACTCTAAATTATATTTAAAATTAGTATCTTTACTTCTTTCCTATATAGGTTTATATGAAGTCTGAATGAATTCACATTTGATTTCTGTCTTCCAGCTTCCTCCAAAACCACAAACTCTACAAGCCAATTCCAAACTGGAAAAGAGGCGAATGTCTGCCCCACCAACTTCCAAAGCTCTGACCATCTCTGAAGTCGCTAAAACTCCTCGCCGCTTCAGCACACAGAAGGGCTTACGCACTCCCCAGGTATATTTACATTTACAATATCGAGAAAAACTCCAGCCTACATGGGTATCTGGTCCAGCAACAACGTGACAGATGACGTGGTATGTGGAAAACACAGTGGCAGGAGGCGGTAACTTGCAGAGCAGGAAAAAGGCTGAGAGGAATAGATAGTGTTTGCACAGTAGTTTAAGTACTTCAGTGAATATCAAGACTTATAACATGCATTCTCTGGACAGATACTTGGCCAAAATGACCACTATTGAGGTAAGGCATGTGGGCTGTGATGGCGGGTTTATGTTAGCTTAGGAGAAAGGCTTTTAAACTGTTGAGATGATGACGACGGTAATACCAGAAAAGAAGATGTAATGATACTTACTTTGATTATGTACTTTGATATATAACTGTAGTTCTTTCACATTGTAATGTCTATACTTTGTCTTGTCTACTTATGATATTCAGTTGATAAATTAAACCCTCTTAGATGTTTACACTAAACATTTTGTTAAAGTGTACAAAACATTTATCCAAATCTACCTTGTGCTTAAATTGTAGACCTGTAATTTTATATTAATTCTGTCTGTGTTCTCATGTTCACATGTCACACGTCATAATAAGACATGCAGGTTGGGTGACATTGCTGCTTAAGTCCCTATTTTAGCTACATGCCTCTTGAATAATAACTGTGTGCTTTTTAACTGAGGGAGTCTTTAAGTTGTTGTGGGACATGTGAAGTTATTTGAATGCTGAGGGCTCATTTGATTGGAGTGAAACTGAAAGTGGAACATAAGCAAATTGAAAAACTATCAGGCTATTCTCTGGGATCTTAAGAAATTGATAAAACTCATTGACTCATTTCTCAGAAAAAATTTTGAACATCTATTTAATACTACTTGGCACTGACCACATGGGTTCATATTGAATAGATATTAGCCTTTGCTGATGACGTTAAAAATGGACAATACACATTTTCAAATTTACTACCCGATAAAGGGGACTATTACCGACCATTGTTACCAAAGTTACTGTACAGTACAGTGTTGTTAGGAGGTTTCTAAAATGAAACCGCATTTCCTTTTGCTCGTGTGATAGAGTTAAGCTTTGTAAACCAATATTACATAAAGTTAAGTGAATCAAAGACTTGCATAATAATTGCCATTTGAGAACTTAATAATATTTATTATTATTATAAGTTGTGGAAAAAGAAACAGGTTGGTTGTTAAAAGATGATGATTTTTTACTCATATTTATCGCTTTTTAATGTAAATTATTCTCACAGCAGTGTCATTTGCCACAATGAATAGCAAACATTTATTCCCTCACTGAGAGAAGATTGGTTATAGATCTGATCAAGCTGATTATTAACAAATTGAACTGAGGTTCAATTAACTGCACTGCCTTAAGTACACTTAGCAATCAGTTTGGGCTAACAGAAGGTCTGAGTTCTCTTAAATGCTTCTACGAACGTCATCGTCAACCTGCTATTTGCTAGAAACTTAAGATAACTTAAAACATGTTGTAGTTGTAAAGACTTGGTTGTATGTCTATTGCATTGATGTGATTACCGTATCTGCTTAGATCTACTTTAATCACGCCGTCTCTCTAATCATATTCTATAATAGATCTGACATTACTGTAAATTACAAGTTTGTCCTCTCCTCGGCAGTACGTCAACAAGATCGAGACTATATTTGACGAGAGGAGAGGGAGAAAGCGGGTGAAGAACCAGGGCATCCCGCTCCGAGGTGAGACCCACAGTAGCACATCTACAGATTAAGTCCAGTCTCTGGTGTAAATACCCAGGCTCTGATGACACTCACAAGGCCAGCTGCTACGGGAGAAGACAGATTATCAAACAAAGGCAGACTGTCTGCGTTTTATTATGGCCTCTGTGTCTTGTTCATTTCTGGGCTAATCCCTCCTCTTTCCTTTAACAGAGGAGACCAGTGGCACAGAAAGTGACCCTGAAGATGGCTCCAAAGGTATGACTGTTGTTATGTCATGTTTTAAGTGCACTGTCATCAGCTGGGCTTGGCATGCCTCTCGATGAGTCAGTCATTTACGAGTGAGAAAGTGCAATGACTGCAATATAGGAAGATTGTTATTCTTACATTTCTATATTTGGAGTAGAAATATAACTTTTGTGATAACCGCTTATATTTGGAGTAGGTTGGTATAAAAGTGTGGGTCAGTTTGGGCAGTAGAGATCCTAATATTTTTTCTGATAAAATACGATAATAGTTTCAAACAAATAGTGATTGATTGATGTTTCTGTAGTAATGAATCCAGTATTCTTGAATCTATATTTTCTAGAGAATGCACAGAAAATAACACAGATTGGATTTCAGTCTGTGATCTTTTCTTCAGGTCAACTCTTTAAAGCCAGTTATAAAAGCCATCTGCAATGATTTAGTAGGCAAAATATCCCAATAAAACTGCACTTCACTGGACATAATATTTACAGTTTTGAATACATCTTGCACACCAGTACTTGTTACAGATACTTTATATTATGTGCCATACAGGGCCATGTAGCCTAGTGAAATGTAAATTGCTCACATATGTTTTGTGTATACAGATTTTTGTGCACTAAAAATGTCCATTCAACCCCAAACCTCAGAATATTTACAAACAAAGATACCCTCAAAACCACATCACTAACTGCAAGACTGAGCGGAAACATAGAAACAGCACAAGGCGTATCACATTTACTTGAGCAAACAATGACTGTTATGGAAAAATGCAGCTTGGCTTTCAAACCTGATGTGAAAAACAGGCCACTCTCTGTCCCCTGCTACACAATGTAATCACCCTATAGACACAATAATACTCTTCGGATTGTTCTGCATTGTTAACGTGTATTGTTTGGCCCTCAGAAGGCTCCAGGAGATTGGTTTACAAGCAGTCCACTCTGAAGCGCCGGCCTGGGTACCGCACCCTGGAGAGAGACCTCCTCCAGCACCAGCAGCAGCAGCTCTTCCAGATCTTTGTGGTGGTGTCGCTCAGAAAGGGTCCCCATGGAAACACCTACACCCCTGAAATTACACAACAGTTCCCCAAGATGGTGAGCACTCCACCCTGTTGGGATGTTATTGACTATGGCATGCTTTGATCACAACTGTAATGAAATAGTCTAGCAATTAAAACATATCACAAACTTGAATCTTGTTTGGAAAATTAAAAGCCGATGATTCTTGTTATAGACAAATGTTTTGATGGAATATTCACATTTTGGAAAAGCGCTGGTGTCTGTTTTTGTTTTCCATTCTACTAGTAGATTTGCACAGAATAGAGTGACATTTATCAAAAATGATTAGAGCAAATTCCTCTTTCCTTTTATTTCCTTCCTTAGCTTGTGTAGGCCGACTGTAGAGAGTTGTTTTAACCTTGTCAGATTTCTCCACTATTGTGACTGGTAACCTGATACTTAAGCATCTGTGCATGCTACACAGAAGACTATCTGCACTATTTAAAGGCAGTGTGGAATTTAAAGCCATTAACCAAAGCAAGTCTTTGTTCTAGTCCCAAGGAAGACTAAAAGTTTTTGTCAGGGCATCTTACTCTTGTTTTGGATAATGACTTTTTAAAGAGCAACAAAATTAACTCACTTAAATATAAATTATGCTTCATTTTGACACATTATCTAATTATATTATGGAACTCTAATCCAAATTATTTCTTTTTATTTTTTTAGTTTGACAAGGCATCGAGGCTGTCTAAGGAGGCAGAGGACCAGCTCAAGGTTATTCCAAAGTTCTGCTTCCCGGACGTTCAGGACTGGAAACCCTCTGCGCACATGCCAAGGTCAGCTCTGACACACAACTGTTTCAATACCTCATTCTCCACGCCACAGCTGTGGCCACTGCAGATGCAGCCGTAACATGATATATGTGTATGTATCTTTGTATCTCACAGCCACACTTTCCATTTGCTGTATTTCTTTGATGGGGTCAAGAGTTGGTTGTATGAGACTGGGAGATGGTTGATGTGAGATTTGGTTGTATCAGTCTCATCTTGAGGAGTTTTATTTTGCAGTTGCCCATCTGTTTCTCCATCTGTCACACTAATAGGGTCTGTTAGGAATACTTTGTGGAGTTTCTGTGTTTGTAACTGCCACAAACAGAGACAAGGATTCAAGTACTTTTAAGAACTTTGGCCTAGGCAGATTACTGGCAGCATTTATGTCGTTACACAAACTGGAAATATGACCTACTTATGTAAATCTAATTTCTGTAACTGTTGAGTGTCATTTTAGTATCAGTTTAGCTAAAGTGAAGTTTGGAATTTTAGTTTTGGACCTCAAACTATGGTGTAATAAACAAATAAACATGGCTCCAGTAAAGGTTGATGAGGCCTTTTTTGTTTTGCTGAACTGAATCTGTCACTGAGAGTTAGAAGATGGAAGAGTGATGTAGACCATATGTAAACAGACGCTGAAAGTACTTAAATATGTTTGGATAGAAATTATAAGCTTTCATACTAAAGATAATACTAGTTTGTCACATAGATACTTTTGTTAAAATGGCGTGCATATCTCTAAGCTGTATAACATTGAGTCTCATTGTAAAAAAACAGAGAATAGAATAGTTTCAATGAGATTACATTTTCTACCATGTTCCTGTTTCTCTAACTATAGATAAAGGTCATGCACAGTTAAAGAACCGTTAAACCGTAATAGCAGATTATAATGGCATTAATCTGCTATTTTGTTTGTTGTGCAGTGAGACCTTCTCCTTTGTTCTGACCGGAGAGGACGGCAGCCGCTGGTTTTGTTACTGCCGGAAGATTTTGGTAAGAAATATGTCAGTCTTAGTCACTCACTCTCTCTCTGTTGTAAAGCACGGTAATATGAGCATCTGTGTGTGCAATATGGGCACACTGCCATCAACTTGCTCAACACCTCCTGAGAAGCCCTGAATCACCTCTATAAAGCCTGTCTAAATCAATGACTCACAGCAACAAGAATCTTCTGAAAATATTTACATCTGTTTTACTTCATTGCAATATGTTAGACTATAATATGTTAAATACTAAATACTGGGTATTTTGTGAGGTAATGTGGGGTAATGGCAGAGAATGGCTATTAAACTCAAGTTAGTTTGAAAGGAAAACATGGAATCAAAAGTAATTTGAAATGTTACTGACCAGATATTCCTTTGACATATAATTTTGTAACTAAAGGTTATAAAACTCAGTTATTTGTGTGCTTCATTAGCTGCAGATGAGCTTGTCTATTTTTGCCCATGTTGAAAAAGTTGTATTTAATATTTGCAAATGCCTGTTGTTCAGTCTCTGATATATTGTCTTCTTGTCATGTGTATTTCAGCCTAGTGGTAAAGGCAAGAGGCTGCCTGAGGTGCATTGTATCGTCAGCAAGCTGGGCTGTTTCAACCTATTTGCGAAGGTAAACTATTAGATACTCACTTGTCTTATGTTCTTAAATGAAGTAGTCCAAGGTGTGTATTAAGTTTTTAGGAGTGCACATTTGGTGTCGAAACCCTGGAGCCTCATTTGTATTAGGAGTGGAATGAGGCTCAATGAAACCATAATCCAGTGCAATCATTGGGTGTGTTTGAGAAAATAGAAGTTCCTTATAATCCTTATAGAAAGTAAAGGGCCCAACCCATTTCCTGTATAAATTTGCTTTTGTTGTAATGCATTATTTTATTGTGTAAGGAAAACCATACATTTTAAATCCAGACACTGGTTTGTATATCCTGGAAGAAAGAGAGGGGAAAAAAAGAATGTGAATGAAAATGTATCCGGATCTGAAATCTGAACTGTCATCAATATGTGTTTTCACCATGTGGTAACTGTCAGATTTTAGAGGAAGTGGAGAGGCGCAGAGAGCTGTCCAACGCACTGGTCTACCCCTTCATGCGCAGTGTGATGGAGGCCCCATTTCCTGCTCCTGGACGTACTGTCAGCGTGAAGAGCTTCCTCCCCGGAACAGGGAACGAGGTAAGACCAGCACCAACCAACAGGAAGTGCAACTGATGTGGTTTTGCACAATCATCATGATACAAATTATTAGTAACAGTGATTGTAATTATGTCTTTAATGTCTTTTAAATCTGGGCGTACTGTGCAAGTAGTTTGAATTACTAGTTTTACTAGATTTGACATGATCATTTTATGTCTTTCAAGATGGTTGTCTCATCTCAAGACAGGATTTTTTTTTGCTAAGGGGATCAGAAAAATGTACGCAACTAATTAGTAGATTTATATTCTCATTTCAACCTTAATGGTCTTTAAATGATTTTATTGAACAAGTAAAATATTCTGTGTCGTTTAAGCAACTAAATTTAAACTAATACAAAATTCAATTGAGATAAATATTCTAAAATCAAGTCTTTTTAAACAAGGCTAGGTATTCATTTTTATAGTGTAAACCACATATGAAGAAAGGAATTATAAATGAGGAACCTTTTTTTTTTGGTCGACAAATGTAGGTAGCTTTGTTACAAAAAAATCACACATAATATGAAATGTGATCCCATCAATGAATTAATTGTTCTTGTCATAGACCATATTTGAGTCATTCATGTTATATTCTAAATATTCTGACCTCCTCTTTATGTTACCAGGTGCTAACCCTAACCCGCCCGGTGGACTCCAGACTGGAGCATGTGGACTTTGACTGTCTGTTACAGTGTCTGAGTGTGGGCCGACTGCTCCAGGTCTTTGCCTCTCTGCTGCTGGAGAGGAGGGTCATCTTCATCGCAGATAAACTCAGGTACTTCTACAACAGGTTTTGACTATTTTTAGACAATACAATTTTACTCCTTTCTCATACCGAAGTATTGTAGGTTAAAGGTCATTCACCAACAGTTATGTCATAGTTTCTTCATACAGTCACGCAATATTATCTGCTGTACATGCCTTTTACATAATTACAGCTTCGTGGTGGTTGATGCTATGAACTGTACCATTGATATTTCTTGCCTGACCAGCCAGTCCCTTTTACATTCTGTCTGAATCCAGAAGGTTCTGGAACCGGATAATAGAGGGTGAAAATCCTCCGTACAAACTTGTGACGATCCAACCACAGCTACTAATTTGTAAGATGTGTTTCTAAAATGCGGAAGACTTCTCCTCTCAGAAATGCTTATATTGTTCAAAACTAAATATATAACTTCTTTTACCTGAGATAAATAATAATTTGGTGCTTCTATTGTTGATTCTGTTAAAATCTGCACCTGCCTGGTTCCTCTGTGTTGTTTTTTCCCCTTTTTATGTTTGTTTTTGATTTGAATGAAGCATGCTTCTCTTTAATTGGTTAATCTGCCTGTCAATCAGGTCCTGTGAAATTAGGAAAACAGGATATGGCTCCAAATCTACTTTGTAAGAGCCTTTGTAAACTTTTGTTGAGGCGTGTGGTTCTGGTTGGCCAGGTAGGGGTTGCATCATTGTGCCTTTGTACTTTCACCTGCTTGTGCTGATTTCTGTACCACAGGCTAGATTGCATTGTCTCATGTCACGTTGATTTGTTTGGCCATCTTTTGCGTACACTCGTTCTCTATATAACTGCTGTGTGGTTAGTTTGTAGTTGAGTTAAATTATATATTCGGCAGTTCTATTTTTTATTTTTTATTTTTTTTTACAGTATTAGTATAATTCACATTCTTTGTTCCTGTTTTGTTGCAGTGTCCTCTCCCACTGTGGTCATGCGGTGCTTGCCCTCTTGTACCCATTCACTTGGCAGCACACGTTTGTACCCGTGTTACCGGCTAGTATGTTGGACATCAGCTGCTCTCCCACTCCCTTCCTCATTGGTGTGCTGTCTCCCTGTCTGCCAGAGCTGCTGGAGCTGCCCATTGAGGAGGTCAGGCTTCAATATGCAACTCTTTACTGCCTGTCTTTGCTTTGTAAACTACCTTATTGTAATGTGCTGGCATAGATTTTGTTGTGTCCGTATGGTTTTATGTGCTTTTATTTATTGTATTTATTTATGTCGATCCGTGGGTTTCAGAATGATGCAAAATTAGGACACCGAGTGGCAATTGAAACAATATATATCTTGTATAATGGCAAAAAGTCCTCAAAAATGTTTACTGTAAAAGTTGTATGTTATTATCGTGTTAAATAGTATTTGCAGAACTTTGGAAACAACTTTTGTTTGTAAAGTATTTTGTAATATGTAGTATCACTGGTAGTCTCCATGGTCTCTTAAGTGTCTCCTTTATGTGTTGCAGGTGCTGATAGTGGATCTGTGCTCCGACAGGTTTGTGGTTCAGGTGTGTACACATATCCCTGTCTGTGGGAATGATAGGTGTGGCCCGGGGAGGGGGAAAGCTTTGCCCACACATGTCCGTGTTGGCATAAGGATAATCTGACTGTAACGGCAGACGCACTACGCTCCCATGTGACACATACTCATACAGATACTCTGAACATGAACAATGCTATAACCCAGTTCAAATGAGGATTTACTGCCACCCTCTGGATTACAATGGCTATGTTTACATACACACCAAAAATCATTATCTGCTGTCTGGAGTCATCAGATCATTCAGATGTCATGTCTAAATAATCAGATTTCTTTCTGATTGTTCACACTTGTTAGCAACTCTAAAAATTGTATCGTTCTATAGTTATATCTAGATATACAGAATATGGCTATAGATACATAAAAAAATAAATAATAATAATATGTTTTTATTTTTTTCATGTAAGTGTACCCAGGTTCACATTGTCTTGGTAATTTTGATATAATATAACAAAGATTTGGAACCTTACCAGAGATAGGAATAATTTTCTGTTATCTTTTCACTATAATTTTAGAGATAAGCACATTTTACATTCATATATATTTGTTGTTTTTGTTATTTGCATTCACTGTTTTGACATCTTTTTTGTGTGTTGTGTTTAGATTGGTGATGAAGACTGTATCCTGCCCAGTAAACTCCAGGCAGCATTACAACAGGTCCTGGAGGAGAGGGAAGCAATTTTGAAACAGGACACTAATGGAGGTTTGTCTGCACTAAATATAATATCTGAAAATTACAGAGAAGCCTCAGTGAGTGACTTTAACACACATCCAAATGATACAGATAACAACTGTGGTGCAAGCAGCCTGTCATTACCAGATCTAAGTCTTACAACTCAAATCACTTCTTGTAATTTGGAGATGGTTACTTAAATTGTAAAGTGTGTATGATATTAAGATGATGCCTCATTTTGTGAAATGAATTTTAAAGGTCCTATATTACACAAAATTGACTTCTGTGAGCTTTTAGCCATGTTAGAATGTTTTGTTTCATTCACACGTGCTTGAGTAATCCTACATTATTAGTCTGTTTACATCTCCAAAGCACAAAATGATCTGCTCCACCTTGTTATGTCATGAAGCTGTAGTTTTCAAGTTAACAGCTACCTTTTTTTAAATAGTGATTGTCAATTCCTGGGTTAAAATTATCCATATTATTCTAGTAAAGGTGTTTGGAAATTAAAAACACAGAGGAGCACTTCCTGCATTACCATGTGGTATCACAAGGTGGAGGGTTTTCCATTTGAGAGAAGAGCTAAATATGCAGGTTTAAACATATGTGAATGAAACAAAACACAACTCTGAGTATGTTTTTGATGAAGAAACAACATTATTAACATAGATCTGAAAACAGCATAATATAGCCCCTTTAATGGATTTCAAAAGTTAAATAATTCAAGTCAATATTAGCTTGTATTTATAGGAACTGCAGAAGAATGGCACAAAAGGCATCATTTTAGTTAGGCCTTTTTGATGAAAAGCAAGAAATATATTACAGGACATAATTGTACTGGCCTGGTGACTAATATATTGTTGTTGTTGTTGTTTGTTTTTTTAGAGCCCCAGGTCGACCTGAGCTCCCTGCTGTCTGAGGCATTTGTGCGCTTCTTTGTGGAGATCGTGGGGCACTACCCTCTGCACATGGTGGAGTCCTCCAACGGCACCAAAGAACTCCAGAGAGAGAATTTCAGGAAGTCCCACCCGTCCAGAGGAGTGAGGCAGCTCCTGCAACTCTTCATGGAAACGCAGATGTTTGCAGGCTTCATCCAGGACAAGGAGATGCGCAAAGGAGCAGGGCGAGGTAACCAATAGGCTGTGTGTTGAAGATGAGTTTCTGTTTCAACTACCCATTATATGTGCCATTTTTATGCTTTTTTGTATTCAAAAGATATAATATATTATTTTGAATTGTTAATCACTATGGCAATGGTCCTAATTACATTCCAAACCAATGGCTAGAGCTTTTAATGGGCAAGACCAAAATACAATATAGTTAATAGTATACGTCTGGGGACACACATCAAGGCAAAGCAAGTTTATTCATTTGTTGAGCACAATTTGTACACAAAGAAATTCAGAGCTTGAGTAGAATACAAACAAATAAATAAGTCAATAAAAATATACAGAATCATTATACAATTTTGGAGTAGTGCAAATAAAACCATCCCAGTTGTCATAGGCACACCAATACAGAACCGCTTTGAGACTAGATTATGAACTTTTATCAGATAAGATTAGACAAGGCAAACATTAAAGTACATATCCAAATTGCACCAGTGCCTGATATCATTAGGCTCTAATTTGAATGCCTTATCTTCAGGTGTATTTTTTCAACCTTTGCCTTAAAGATGCTTTGTGTAACTTTTCTTGTGGAGGGTCAGTCTGGTATTAAATGTTTATGTCTTTACTGAGACCAAACCAGACCAAGTTACAGGTCAAATCTGTGGAGGGCAATCCTCTTCACAGTCAGAATGCCTGTTTTTGAAGGTATTTCTAAGTTATAACACCACCTATAATTGAATAAATATAAAGTAGAGCTGTTAAATGTCATACCTTGGAGCATTCCACGCAGAGCAATGACATATCCGTAGAAACAAGCAGGTGACAGACCCCCAACCAAAAAGTTACACAGTGCACTTTTAACTTATATTATGTCTCATGTGCATTGTTTCCTCAGGTCTTTTTGAAATGAGGGTGGTAGAGCACCTGGAGTCCTACCCAGAGCCAGCGCCCAGTGGAGTGAACAAGTTCCTCAAAGGGCTGGGTGAGTAGCAACTTCTCCAAACACAGACTACAAATGTGTAATCAAGTGTTTTTCTATTAGGTCATTATGATGTCCTCTCTTACTTTTCAGGAAACAAAATGAAGCTCCTGCAGATTAAATGAAAGAGCTTGAGTGTGGCCAGTTGAATGAAATCTGCTGCTGCTGCTGCTGGACCTGCCCTAATCCAGAGCTGGTCAGCGGATTCCAGTTTGGAGGTGTGTGAAGCAAATGCACTTCGGAGAGGACCAAACTTTCTGCGTTCATGTGGCATCTTTGTATTTTTACTGTTTTACAATGATGTTCTGTTCGAGAGGTTTCATCTCAGGCATTTTTGCATAAACCACCATTTTTAAGCAAAAATGAAAGGATCATACTTGTTAGAATAAACATAGCTCTGCCTAATACTGTTTGATAACTTGAAAGGTAAAATGGAGTAGTAGGTTATAAGTTTGTCCTTTCTGTCCTATATTTTGTCATCTTTGTGTCCATGAAGCAGCCTATTTGTAGTCTGTCTAAATCAGTATTGTCCAGCCTGGTTTGGATCTGTCTGAAAATCAGGCCATGTGTAATAACTAGCTGTTGCCACTGGCTGGTGCTCCACAGTCCGACTTGCATATATATATATTTTTTACCTAAATTGTACAGTTTAACTTTAAGATACAGCAATTTTTCAAATTTTACATTATTGCTTGTTATCAAATCTTATCTTATTTTATATTTTGTAATTGTAAATACTACATTTATATACATTTCAGTATTTCTTTTTCCTTTACTTCTGTTTATTTACTCAACATTTCAAAGTGCTCACACTCAGTAGTACAAATGTTCATTTAAAAAAATATTTAATCCGTCTTCCTGTGGATGTAAATAGAGATTTTACACATTGCAAAAAATTGTACAGTATTTTTAATATTTTTGTAAGAAAGCACAAGGACTCTTGTAAAATTTGTAAATAAATTAGGGCCCAAGGACACTGTTCCATGTCTCATTTATTTTAGAAGTCTTTATACACTAACATTTTACTAACCTGAACAAGAAGCACCAAATATGAATGTCACTTTACTGTATTTTATTAATGTTGTAAGACAAAGTATTAATACACAGAGAACTGAGGTCAAGTCATGAGGAAAACAAATTCAACTGTGTGAGATCTTTTGCATTTAGTACAGCACTTAGCAGAGATGGGAGCAAATGACCCGTCTGAACACTTAACGGTTGAACAGTAGCCATAGTTAGACCCTGTTGAGATAAAGCTCCTCTTTCCACTTGAGACCCTCTGAAGTGGAACATTAGTGATCGCAAGGACACACCCAGACAGGGCCTGAGCTGCTGGAGAAACAGGTTTTTAACCTGTTTTTTAAGGAACTTTAAAGTGCACCAAGCATTTCAGGAGCACGTAACCTTTACTGTAGTCATTTACACCAAACAAAGCTGTTGCTGTTTTGGATGGAATTTAGATTCCCGAATAAAAATTATGCTATTCCAATTTGCACTGTGCATTTGTCAGATTACGACATGAGATCACATCACATACAACTTGGGACAGGACTTGGACCACAGCTACAGTACAACTGAACACACTTCAAAACAAGCATATAAATAATACAGATTAGGCACAGATCAGAGAAATAGTAGTGGGTTGTAAATCATACCCAGTTCTATTTTAAATGATATCTACACTGTGCCTTGACTAATGTTTGTAATACTCCTATTTACCACAAGAGGGTGCAGTTATCACATCTTCTCATGCAGTTTTTTTATTCAGTTTCATTCCGAGCATCACCATGGTGACCATCAGCCTCTTTAAAAGTTTGTCAGAAAACATGAACTCTATGCGAAGGGGCGATGATTAGTACAAAACCAAAAAAGCAATACACTGAAGAACTTTCTATTTCCATGGAATGATGCAGGTGGCATGACACCTCCAGAAAGTTACATACTGTTGCTTTAAGAGGAGCCTGCACCATATTTACATTGACCTTAAAATCACATCAAATAGGCCTACATTATTCTGCATGTATGACAACAAATACTATAGAGCCTTGTGTCTTTTTTTAAATACTGTGGGCCATTGGTTGTGAATTGTTTTTAGTACTACCTGCAATCAAAATGCACATGTAATTTAACTATATGCAAACAGGTCATGACCAGTGCCCGCTGTGGTATGCCGCTTTCTGACACTTAGTAGCTTGTCAGTGTGAGTAAGAAATCATGAGGCATTCTTAGAAAAGTTTATTTTGTTCAAATGCAGTATTTTCCCATCCTTTACAAGATACAGCTGTAACTTTGGGTTGGCAAGACAGACACCAAAAGAGGGTAAAAAAAAAAATCCACATTCATGCAACTTAACCACATGACAATGAGACAACTCTGTGCTCCCTTTAAGTAACATACTTTTAATTTATCTTTAGAGAAACCAATGATTTAGAGTCACCACCTGACTTTTAGTTTGACTTTAAAAGCAAAATTACACATAGGCCATTGTTAGAGAAGCAAGTGTAGATTGATGGCTTGCCATATAATATAATATGATTCAATATAATATTACATAAATATACAGTATAAGGATGAATCAGGTCTTGTAAAGATTTGAATTAGAGGAAATTTGACTTCTTAGGAGGCTTGTCCCCTTTTCCACAAAGGTCTAGACATGTCCTTGATCTTCTAAGAACCAAACCCTGCATTCCTGTTCTTCTGGTGTTACAATCAGGCTGGATGTCTCTGTAGCTTCCACCACATCATAAAGGCTACAATAGTTTTTTCAGTAACACATTATTCGACCTTGGATCGAGGTCTGTCTTTGTTCCACAAAGATACAAAATGGTGTGTTATCTGAGCTCAGAACAATATTATTATGGACTTTAAGCTACCTGTCTGTAATCTATTAGATTACAGACATCTAATTTTATTAGATTTTTTTTTTTTTTACCATTAGATGACAAATCTAAAACCTGTCCCCACCCTTCCCCTCAACTGACCTTGGTTCAGGCACACCAGTCCTCTCCAGTTATCTTCTGTCACGCCAAAGCTGGAAAACTATTAGACAAAAGTAATGTAGATAGCATCTAGAAAAACAAAAAATGCCCAAAAAGGAGCAGAAAGGAGAAAAAAACATATTTAATCCCATCCCCATCTTCCCCATCACCTAATATACCTATTAAAGGTCAGTAGGATGTGATATAGCTCGTTTCAAAGTGTTTAAAGCATAGACTAGTATCTTTGTGTTGTCTCTGCTCTCCTCTGCCTGCATAGGTAAATTAGTAGATGTTTATGTTTAAATGAACATAAGTTTGAACTGTCAGCAGAGGCCTACATACACCAGGGCATATTAGATGTAATTTGTCCGTGAAGGTGTTGCCATAGGTCCTACTTCTGGTAAAAAAATTAGGCACAAATCTACTTTAATGTCAAAACCATGTCGACTGTTGCCAGGAAAAAGCAGACTTTAGGCATGGCTGCTGTTTATTTACTATTAGGGACGTGTGGATGGAGTAAAATCACATGAGCCTCCTCGTGGTGGGGGTCTGCGGGTTGGGTCCTCTGAGTGGAGATGATGAACTCTATGTACTGTAATATCTTAGGCCCATGTCTTCTGCTGGGTGATGACTTGTTTTAGGTATTCAGACAGATTGAAAAAAGCTTCATAGGTCACATTGAGCTCTAAGGCAAGTGCTTGTACTTGCCAATTCTTTTTATCATCTTTGTTTTATCATCATTTCTAGGTAGGCCTGTTCTGCTTCAGTAAGCTTTTCCCAACAGCCATTTTCAGAATAGTAACAATAGTGAGCGCTTATTTAGATGTTTTATTGTTAGATGAACCCAAACACACTGAGGCCACACTTCTTGGGAAATCAGCCTTTGATAGTTACTCCTTCCATGTTTTTATGGATAATATGCCTACAGATATTTTTAGTTTCACAAAGTTCAAAAGCTTTTTGTTGCTGTTGTCTTACTCCACAATCTCTATATATTCATCAGCCGGTTTCACTTCGTGGAAACAGTCTAACCTCGCAGCATTAGAATTCGTTCACTCAGCTGTAGGCGGGTACTTTTTTTCATTTAATCTATCGCAGCTATTTGGTCATGATATATGTAATGCGCCGATAACAGGGCTAGCTGGTATATTAAGCTTTTCCCAAATCCCGTAGGAAGAAGGGCAAAAATGTCTTTCTCTTTAAAATATATTCACCAAACATTCTATTTGTTCCAGCTTTAAATCCTCAGTCTCGGGAATCGTTGTCAACACAGAATGTATGGCTCTTCGCTGATTGGATGGTGCCCGAACTCGCACTTCCAGGGTTCTTGCAAACCATCCAGTGCAGGGGTGTCAAACTCATTTTGGTCCGGGGGGCGTATCCAACCTACTTTGATCCCAAAGGGGCCGGATCAGAAAACTCATGGCATATAAACCCCAAAAATAACAAAAAAATTCAAATATTTCTGCAGAGAAACACAAATCTATTACAGAAATCTTTTTTAATTGATGAACTCTTTCATATTATAATATTATAATATTATGAACAACCTGAAACTTTAAGAAAAATTCAATTTCAACATTTAAAATATTTTAGTAGAAAATCACCCAAGGGCCACATTAAAGGTCTTGGAGGGCCGGATCTGGCCCCCGGGCCTTATGTTTCACACCTGTGATCTAGTGTATTCTGATTCCTGTCCTAGTCGCTGGAGAGAAATGAAATTGAGTGGGGGCAGTAGGTGGTGCTGACTACAATCTCTAAACCATTTTTCATAATATGCTTTCTATCATTATTCATTAACTCCACACTCATTAAAAGCCGCTATTGTAGCCACAGCTGCCCTGGGCCAGACTGACTGAAGAGGGCCTGCCAATCTGCACCATCAGCCCCTTTGTCCACAATCAACATTAATGCACACAAAATAGTCATACTAATGTGGGTGACATGTTTTGCCTAAGAACACAATAGTTTTTGCTGTGCCCACTGTGGCCCCTTATATTTCCAGTGATTTCCCATCCAAGTGCTAACCTTATTTATAGATTTATATTTATATATAGTATAGTTTTCACAAAGATGACAATTCAGTAAATGTGAAGATAAATCAAAGACAAAACAAAAAAACTAAATCAAGTCTTTCACCTTTGTTATGATAGTTTAATCTACAACTCATGACTTTTTAATGCCAACACGCCTGTCTATTTTGATCTGTCTTCAAAACATGAAAAGAGGCCTGTCACAACAGTCCAGTGTTTACAGTCAATGTCAATGTCGAAGTAAACATTTGCAGCTTAAATTAAACGTAGCTTGAATGTGGGCCATAATAATCATAATAGAGACCTATCACTGAATCACATGAAAGTTACTGCTCAACTGAAGGGACTTGTCCAGGAGACATTGGATTATTATTGACATGGTTGAACATTCTCAGAACAAATTTGACCTACTAATTATAAGAAACACAGTACTTCCTTGGAGCACTGAGTATGATAACACATTTAACTGGAAGACATAAACGTGACTGGAAGGGCTGTAAAAATAAATGAATGACGGGCTGTAAAAAACAGTCCAGACTGAGCTGGCTTCTAATATAAAAACACAGGTTTTCTGACCTAAGTCAGTTCAGTTGCAGAGTTATTTTTAGGTTACAAGCAAAGGTTATAGGAAAATTACCATTGTTACGTGCCACGGGAGCCTAGGGGGTGGCACGGTAACTGAAAAAGATGTTAAAATGAACCGGGTGTGGAACAAAACGGGAAGCGTGGTGAGGTGAAAAAAAAGAAGGATGTTATTACAAAAACGTAGATCGAGATAACACAAAAATAAACAACTAAAGATCGCTGCAGCAGAGGACCCACTCGTCCCACTTCTCGGGGTGGCTCCGGCTTTTATACCCCCGCTGATTAGTAGGACCAGGTGAGGCAGATCAGCGGGGCGGATCCGGGGTGGGTGGAACTGAGGTGGGGTGAGGCAAGGAAAAAAAAACGAGGACGGCATCCGTCACAACCATGTGCAACAACAGTTATAGGGTCAGTGATTCTGAGTTTAGGCTTTAATCAAAGCATGTGTATTAAAGAGAGGGCTCAGTACATCGCTGCTGATCATGAATTAATTGTGAAGTCCATTTGAGGACTAGGTGTTATATGGCGCAACAATGGAGGGACCCAAAAAATGGACTAGACACCGGTTCACAAAAATTAAAAAGGATAATTTATTTACTACAGCTGGAGCAGGGCCTGGAGCAGGGCCTGGAGCAGGGCCTGGAGCAGGGCCTGGAGCAGGGCCTGGAGCAGGGCCTGGAGCAGGGCCTGGAGCAGGGCCTGGAGCAGGGCCTGGAGACGGGCTGGAGACGGCAGGGAACACTGGAGAGCAGAGAACGCAGGTAAGTAAAACGTCGAGGCAAAAAGGTAAGAATTAAAAATCTCAGAATGAGGAGCCAAGAGGTTCACCGTGTGTAGGTAGCAAACAATCTGGCAGAGTCTCACAGGTGAGCAGGCCTCAAGTAGTTGGCTCTTGATTGCTTGCAGGTGAGGCGAATCAGAGGACCAGGAGACTCCGCCCACACACACCCACAGGGGCAGGGAGGGGACCACCAGCCATGACACTAGGGATGGTCCCATTTGGATCTTTGGAGTCAGGTCTGATGTTTAATTTATTCTTGCTTTTGTAGCCAATAAACAATACTCTGCAGTGCTATATTTCAATGTCTATTCAAGATTTCTGCCTCCTGTAATTTTGAAGACTTTTTCCCCATTTAAAGTTGTTAATTGCCATGGCAATGGTCCTAATTTTTCATCATTCTGAAACCCATAACTGTACATATATTATAAGAGTACAGAAGAGTACAGCTTGGACCAATAGACCACTTTGCACGTTTTGCCCTGTGCTCTTTATTGATATATCTGTTACATTTCAATGACTGGCATGCTGTAGGACAATCAGCATGAATGCAGATATGTACAGAGCTGTAGACGCACAGCAGTTACATAATACTCAAATGTACCAGAAAACCTCTGCAGCCTCTTGTACTCTGACTGAGTCACAATGCCTAAAACCTTTTATGTTTTTTCTAATGAAATTGCATTTAAAGCTGCACTGTGTTACTTTTTTAGTAGATGCTCCTTCACCTGCTTGTCTCCACAGAGATGTCATTGATTTGATCAGAATGTTCCACTGTGTGTCATTAAACACAGCTATTTTGCATAAGGGTATTTTATCTTGAAAAACATGCATTCTTACTGTGAGGGGGAGCACTGCTCGACAGATCTGACCTGTAACTTGACCAGGACATGGTGTCATTAACTTGTTACCTGCTTGTCTCAATGGAGATAGAAAAGTTAAAGCTGAAGCAATAACATCACCATTTTCTCCAGAACAAAAGTGACATATTGACTCTTTAACAGTGCTGTACATTTTGTTCTTAGTTATAAAATCTGTATAATATAAGGTTTACAAGTTTCTGTTTTTTGTTGAAACATTCCAGAGGACATTCCAGAATGTCCTCATGGTATTGCATCTGCTTGTAAAGCAGTTATGCATTTTACACATTAGTCATGTATAATAGCATAATAATAGGGTTACTTGGACTTTGGAGTGGAAGTAAGGCCTTGATGTTACACTTTGAGAATAATCGTCATTTGTTTTATACTGTAGATCTTACAGTGTCTCCATCATAATAATCTTTCGCAATTACAGAACGATCTTGCAATAGTTTGACAGTAAAAGTCATGTACTGTGGTATACTGAAAAAGGAACTGAGCGGTTACAATGTGCTGTAAGTAAACTGGGAGAAAAGTCCTCTGTACTGTTTGCTGGGTAGAGATGGAGACAGTTAAACATTGTGTCATTTTGATGACCCCTGACTCACGTTGAGCGCCCAGCTGCTCCCCTGTCTCATAATCTATACTGGAAAATAACCCACAGGTTAAGAAACAATGTACTAGTATGTCCATATCAGTGCTGGAAAGTAATAAAGTAAAAGTAGTAAAGTTCTGTATTTAAAAAGGTATCTGTACTTTATGTACATTTTAACATGGATGCTTTTTAATTTATTACATTTGAGACCAGGTATCTGTACTTTCTGCTCCACTACATGAGCTACTACTACTGGACTAAAAAGACAAGTATTGTTTTATTATTGTGTGAAGTTTATTTATTATATGTTCACAGGTTGGGCAAACAAAAATATGCACAAAACAGCTAGATAAAAAGATCTATTCAGTTGTTTCTGTTGAACAAAATACAGCACAATTCTTTATCAAATTCACTACATTTGAAGATTTATTAGATCTCAAAATCTGCGTGAAATACTTTTACTTTTTACTCTTTAAGTGCATTTTTAAACAGGTAGTAGATTTTTTCATGTGATACCATTATTTTTGCTTGACTGTTTGTTTGCCCTGGTATCTGTACTTTTACTTGAGTATCAAAATTGAGTACTTCTTTCACCGCTGCTCTATATTTAAGTTAAGTGCGCATTTAATTTGACTTTGGTGGTGCTAGAACATTCAAAGTACTGTGTCAGGGAGGATTGTATAAGCTCAGCACCTTTGATAGAGTAATGCAATTTTAAATACTCTATTTTAAGTGACACATGAGTGAATAAATCAGCATATGTTATTTCTCAACAAACACATAAGGCACCATATTTTAGCCACTGTCCAAATAGGCTGTACAAGAACCGTTGCTTGAGTGACTTGGCATTTTTGTAACCTGCTTCCTCCTTATGTGAGTAATAAAATCTCTGACATTTTTACTACAACATAACTCATTCTATTCCAGGAAATAAATATTTTAATAGAAAAGCTCCTTGTTCCTCAAGCCCTCATCCAAATCAGCATCCAAGAAATGACTTTACTGATACCAGTGTTTGTTAAGCGGTTACTAAATAACCAGAAGGCAGACGTTACTACAGCTGCCACTGGCTCACTGCCACAGAGCCAATATGGTGTTAACATACAATTCATGTTGGGTTGATAGTACACGGTACCTCTAATACACATAGTGATCATAAACAGCGAAAAGAAAGAAACAGAGAGACGGAGAATGTACCACCAGTTGAAAGTTTCTTTAAGTTGACCACTTTTGCCATGCTTAGCCAACTTCTTCGTACAGTGTATGGTCCAGACCTTTGACCGGTAAAGTACAATGTGTTCTTTAACACACGTGAAACCATTTCCCAAATTCTTACTCTTATTCTTCGTCATTGTTGTAGAATAAATTGCAGATTGAGGCTGGATTTCTAATGCAAGAGATGTTTATTTACTATGAAGACATTGTGATTGTCCATTCCAGTCCATTCCAGTTGGCGTGTTTCTGTTGTAGGGAGTATTATACCTCTGGTGACGTAGGCTAAGATGAGCAGGGCTGAACTGGCAGTGTGGGATGGGCATAGCACAGGAATGCATTTGAATTTCTCAATCATTGATTGTTTTCCAAGCCCCTTTTAAACTGATCATGTATTTGGGACTAAAATGTAATTTAGTCAGCATAAGCAGAAGTCGATTTGTTTTTATTTTGTTTGTTTACGGACCCCATTTAGTCTCTGCAAGTGCACGGACTACTCTTTGTGGGGTCCACTCTTCAAAATAAAAGCATAACACATTGACCTTACATTAACAGTCAACACATAACTGCAACTTCTATCATAAGGCAGAAAACACAAACACATAAGTTCATCACAGTGCTTGGTTAGCATTAATCATGTAGGATTTTTCATTTGCAAACATGGATTTCTTGAGATGTTAGTTACCTTCATCTAACTGCATTCTAAGTGTGCAGAAGAGCGTTTATCCCTTAATTATATTTTGGGTTCCACTGCAAATACAGTATACGGCAGTACCCTGGCGGAGGTCTGAGCTGTTACATTACACATTTCACCTCAATAAATGTGAGTATTATTGTTGCCATTTACTGCTGCAGCATTAAAATGAATATAATACGTAATATTATGTACTCCCACAAGTTAACAGTTTGTATTACATTTACATGCCTCTCCCTTTGATCATGCAAAATGTGTATTTAAATACAAAGCACCCCTTTCTTTTGGAGGGAAAATGGTTGTGTATGTACACCTGTGTCCCTTATCTCTGACCAAATGGAAATTCTTATAATAATGCATTCAGTCACAGAGGTGTGTGTACTTATATTTGATATTTCAGTTCTCATTGGTGGGATTGACTGTTGTTTACTCTTCGGAGACCGTCTCTGGGTCTTTATAGGTTTGTGGAGTGAGGAGACTGTTGGTCACACTTTATAGAGTCTATAGATTGAAGATACAAGTATTTGAAATAGATAGACAGATACTTTTTTGATCCCAAAGGGAATTCAAAGTTTGGCAGCCTCTTAGGTTAATTTGTTATTTAAGCTTTTAGGAAGTAGTGTGGTTTTTAATTGACATCACACCAGGCAGCATATATCCATGGATTATAGCACCGCACTGTTTATATGGCAATTCATAATTTAAAACAAAGCAGTTATGCATTTTACATGTTAGTCATGTATAATAACATAATAATTGGATTACTTGGACTTTACCAGTTTCACATGAAAGTAATGCCTTGAAGTTACACTAATACCGTACACCTATACCTTACCTATACCCTAATGTTACATGAATAGTCGTCTCTTGTTTTGTCATGTCAATGTATTGTAGATCTTACAGTGTTTCCGTTATAGTAATCTTTCATAATTACAGCAGAACCTTGCAATAGTTTGACACTAAAAGTCATGCATTGTGGTGTGATGAAAAAGGAACTGCCTGGTTAGATTATGCTTTAAGTAAAAACAGACTTGGTGTCATCAATAATGAAAAAAAGTTTTACAGCCTCTTAGGTTAATTTACTATTCAAGCTTTTAGGAAGTAGTGTGGCTTGTAATTGGCATCACACCAGGCAGCATATCCATGGATTATAGTAATGTTTCTGTGGCAATTAACAATAAATAGTACATCTTTTGAATGGTGAAAAGTGCAACATGGTGTTGAGAAACCGTAAGCTGAGAACCAGAAAACCAGGAAAAATTCAGTAAAGCCAACAAATGTTTTTATGAAAGGGTTTATAAAAGTAGTTTAAACATAAAACTGAATCTGACACATACAAGATACTAAAACAAAATCCTTTAAATGTAGAAAATAACTAAATCGCACATAAATTCATCCAATTGGCCACCCAACTAAACAAGGTCACTTACACCTGCGGGGATTTATTTATAAATGTAAGCCCTATTTTTATTACTATTTTGCATAATAAAAGTGTCTCCTTACCCCACCTATTTGCACAATGACTTGCATGATATAACTCATTGATTACTCCTGTACATATTCAGAATTTCACTGAGTCAGGAGTGGTCAGCAGACAAGAAAGAGCCTCTCCCATCCTCCTCCTCTTCCTTCTTCTCCGCATATTCCAGCTTCTCATCCTGGAGCAGGAAGAGGGAGGGGCTTAGAGAAGTGGCAAACCTGGAGAGTACACACCCACCAACACAAAACACGCTGAGCACCTCGGAGTTGGCAGAGGGACAGTCTGAGCACACGTGGGATAGCTTTTGCACTTTTGGAAGCCCGAGGGAGTGAACAGATGTGACTTCAAGTTTCTTTGTCTTTAAGGTAAACATACACAAATTTACCTGTTGTTACACTGTTACACTTGTTTGTAAGATTTTAAACTTATGCCATGCTTTGTAATCTGTGCTTCATTCATAAAATAATTTTATCTTTTAGTACAGTACGTGACTACACAAATTTGAAAGTTTTGACATTCTAAGCAATATTTTCAAGCCATAAAGTTTAGCATTTTTTAAAAATTTGACTATATATATATATATACTTAAGTGTCTTTCAGATAATATAATATAAAAATGTGTATAAAATGTTGAAATTATTGGTAACTCCTTTATTTGTTTTATAATATACTCACATTGAATCAGTTTCAGAAATTGAAAATACAATATCAGAAAGCAGTTTACTCTCATACATTTGTGGATTAAATTAAAATGAAACAAATGTGCTGCATAGGTTGAGGTCATGTGTTGACAAAGATAATGATCTATGTGTAAAGTCTATATAGTTTTCATGTGTAAATAAGATTGAATTGCGCAAACAATATATGCATGCAATATATGATTAGGGTCAATTTAATATCCTAACATTATGTTCCCAGCATGTTACAGCCTACCTGCACACTATTTGCTTTAGTCAACTTAAAGGGAGTTTATGTCAAATACATTGTGTCCACATTACAGGTAAATTGCACCTGTTCTACCATTGTTAAGTCTGTTTACTTTAGTGTTTCTTCCTATAGCCTATAGGCTTCTTGCACTTGCTGGCACTGTAGCCTAACCCAATGTTTAGTTAAACTGACACCCACACCAGTTCAAAAAGCCAGTGTATCAAGTTTCATGTAAAGCTAAGCGTTAGGAACAGGTAGTGCAGCATGTGGGATTGTGACAGTTGAACTGAAATGTGCTGATGGTACACAAAGGGACTCAAGTGAAGGACACACAGGAATGCATGCAGTGGCATGGAAACCGTTATCTAGTGACCAGGGTCTGTGTAGGTCAGCGGGGCAGAGCAGAAAAACATATAAGTAAAATAGCTGTAACAGATCCTCAGAGGTCTGGTTCATAGTAATAAAAATAGCTATTAGCCTTGGGTTAATGTTCAGTTCTAGAGCACGTACCATTATTTGTTTTAACCAGGACTGATGAAAAATGCCATCTCTCTCTGAACTCCACATACTATCTATAGCCTCACTGGACATAATGTTAATGAAACCACTCCTTACAGTGCTCTATATGCCTTTGTTCTTCCTATACATGACTTATTGTCAATGCTATTTCAATAGCAGGTACAGTATGTTTCAAGGCACACGTGTGTGCTATGATCAGTTAGATAAGAAATACAGTTTCAACTCCTGCTGATCCCTTCTCTATGTGTCAGTTCACCAGCAAATTATGTATAGGTCCCAAAAAGTTTTACACATTGTATTTTTTCCATTTTGGTATCTTAGTTTCCAATATGACGACTTTGCCAAGAAGGAAAATTCTTCTCATTCCAGCTGCAATAACATTTTTGGTCTTTTTTGTTGTTGTTGTTGTTTTGTTTCCATGTGATATACAGTATGTTTATTGCTACAATGTGGTCCATTCCAGACCCTGACATCTCCATGGAAACCAGCTCTTACTTTCAGACCCTGTGTAGACCCTGTAAAGTGAGTTACATAGTGCAGCTTCAAGTAATGTGTTTTTGTTTTGTTTTTCGTCAACCAATTACCTGACAATGTTTAAATTCAAGTAAAGTCAACTCAACAGTAATCTGTTTTTGATGAGTGTGAGTTAATGATTAGAGAGCCTTGGGCAGTTTGGGCAAAGTGAGTGAGTGTGTGAGTGAGTGTTGTGGGGTGGCTACAGGGCAGTGAAATGTTCTGGGGCTATAGTGTCTCTAAAGACCTTGGATGTCATGTGTATGAGCTGCGTAGGTCTATGGAGAGATAGTACAAGAATATTGTGTTAGCGTGCTAGATGAAGCTATAGTTAACACAAGATCGCTCGAAAGACTACATGTTATCATCCAGTTTTGAAACAAGTCCAACAGCTATTTTCTAGGGAAACAGGAAGTCATCAATACAAAAGAAGTGCATCATATGAATTAAAAATAAATGATTTGGAGATGAGTTTGGAGAATGAGCATGAGTAATTTACGTTTACTCCTATTTGAGTAATGGGCCTATATTTATTGAAGTAGCAATACTCTTACTAACCCACCAAATCAAGTATTAAAGGTCCTATATCGCATAAAATGGATTCTAATGAGCTTTAAGCCATGTTGTAATGTTGATAACTCCTCAAAAACATACCTGGTGTTTCAATGACACATGGTTGAGTCTATGGTCGTGAGCTCTGGGTAATTACTAAAAGGACGAGATCGGGGATACAAGCGATCGAAATGAGTTTCCTCCAAAGGGTGACTGGGTGCTCCCTTAGAGATAGGGTGAGGAGCTCAAACACATGGGAGGAGCTCGGAGTAGAGCCGCTGCTCCTCCACATTGAGAGGAGCCAGTTGAGGTGGCTCGGGCATCTGTTGTCGGATGCCTCCTGGTCACCTCCCTCAGGAGGTGTTCCAGGCATGTCCCACCGGAAGGAGGCCCCGGGGAAGACCCAGGACACGCTGGAGGGACTACGTCTCTCGGCTGGCCTGGGAACACCTTATGGTTCCCCCGGAGCTGTAGGACGTATCTGAGAATCTGGGAGTCCCTGCTTAGACTGCTGCCCCCGCGATCCGGCCCCGGATAAGCTGAAGAAAATGGATGGATGGTTGAGTAATCCTGCATTATTACGGTGCATTTCCAAAGCTCAAAATGCTCTGTTTCACCTTCTGATGTCATGTAGTGGTAGTTTTCAAATTAAAAGATATCTTTTATCTTTAGTTTAGTAGAGACTGGCAATTTCAGGTCTGAAATTATTAAAATTATTCTAGTGAATGTGTATGGAGTTTAAAACAAACATAGTGGAGAACTTCCTGTATTACATTCCTTTACATGACATCACAAGGTGGAACAGAGTGTTTTCCATTTGACACAAGAACTCAGCCTAAATATGTAGGGTTTGTGCTTGAATGAAACTAAACACAACTGCAGGTATGTTTTTGACGAGGAAAGAACATTATAACATAAATCAAAAAATAGCGTAATTAATTAAAAAAACATGTATGGCTGTTATAGACACTTTAAGTCTGAACACATTGTACATATGCTCATTAAAATGCCTTGGTGAGTAAACTTATATACAGCCCTGTCACAATATTAGCTACAATATCAACTTTTCATTCAATAGGGGGTCAACAGGGGTCAATAAATTATAGATACTTTTTCTTATTACTTATTGGTAATGGGGAACCCTTTGCTCTTTTCTTTGTTCTTTAGCTTTTATGACTCATTATAAAGACAGACTAATGAATTAATAGTTTTATTCTGCAATTAATTTATTGTAGTTCATGTTTTTTTTTTTTGTTTTTTTTTAACTATGTAATACATTAATAATAGTTTTGGGGGATGAAGTGGGGTTTTTGTGTCAGTGGCATGAATTTGTTTCAGTATTTCCATTTATCGTCTATATTTTCTTCAGCCATATATCATACTTCAAAATTTGTTATCGTGACAAGCTTACACGTAGCAGATAACTGAATTTCATTAGCAGTGGAGTGCTTATGAGTAATTAGTGGGCAAGGGGCAGATAAGACTTCTGTAATTATAGCGAAAGAATGTGTCCTCGTACTAATAATGCCATGTTGAACCGAGCAGGGAGCCAGAGCAGCCAGAGCCGCAACAGGAATTTCAAGGGTAGATGAAGCGATTAGGCACCAAACAAGCAACCACTTTGTGCAACGGCAAGTATCTGGCCAAAGTGACCTAGAGGGCAGAGGGAAGGAACACCTGTGCTCTGACCGTACACACAATGTGTCCTTCACAGGTAAACGGTAACGCAAGCGGCCACATATGATGACACCTTATGCTTATTATTGTGGTCACGCTAGAGTGAGTCTTGGGCATGTCGGTTTCAGGATATTTGAACCCAATGCCATCATTTGCATAATTCACATAGTATCACTCGACTGACCCCAGCTTTTGTCTGGGCCAAGGTCAAAGGTCATAGGGTGAAACATCAGGCTGATACAGAATACTGGACAGGTTGAACAATAATTTTGAGGGAAAAAAAAAAAAGAGTTTAGCTTGACGTGGAATTTCATTCTTCATAGTGGGTGCAGTCTGGTGTAGTTTTCCACTTCAGTCAAGGATAATAAATCATACGTTAAAACCATTTTTGCTCTATGGGCTTATCATTAAACACTCCAGTTTTGGCAAGCTAACCATGCACATATTTTTGATGCTATAACAACATTTCTCATCAGTAGAAGTAACAGGGGTAACAACAACAACAAAGTTATTACCTCCAGTCAATTATTCACTCGGTTAATTGCAGATTAGTAATGATTGACTTAATTAACAAGAAAATATCTCAACCGTCATTTTGGTCCCCAAGTATAGACCTAAAAACAAACAACTGAACTACCATATTACAGCTAAAAACATACTCTTTACACTGGAAAAGTAATGTCTTTATAAAGTTAACATTTACGTTGAACTGTTTTGAATGTGTTTTGCCTAAAAACTGCTGGATGAACAGATGGACAGACAGATGGGATCGGTAATATGGAGTCCACTAGTGGCCAAAATTAACATTACAACACATGTGACTGTGTCAAGCATAGATCAGAAAATAAATACAATAATATTTCTCCACTTTTCTTCTTTACATTGAAGTCTTAGTAATATAATTAGTCAAATAAACTGATACTTGCAATGAGGTCCACTCCATAGCAGCGTATTTGCAATAAATATAACAAATAATGTGCTATTTCTGTGATGTGGTTGCTATAGAAACCAGAGAGCAGGAGATTTTTCCAGTAATGTTAAAGTTAATGTTACTTTAGAGATATTTTATTTTTACTTGTACATATACATATACATTTATATTCTTCCTGCTGCCCCAATATGGATATGTCTGACTGATATTGACACTTGCCACCCACTTTCATTACATCACATATTTACTTTGTAGTGGGCATTGTAAATTCCCTAGTAAAACTTTTAGCTAAGTAACTGTGACTATATAAGTCTGTGTCTACGATAGTGGGGGGTTTGTAAGTTAGTTGTTTAATTGTTTCTTTAATCGCTGTGTAAATGTATTGATGCTAATTTACATATTTATATTTGATAGTTAATGTGATTGTAAAAGACAGACAAAAAGTTACAAGAAAGGACATTAAAGCTCCTCAAACCCATTCAAGTGTACGTCTTCACTCTCCGATCGGAGTATTGTTTGGATGAATCAACAGTCCTTAGCGATCTCCAATTTTACCAGAAATGTATGCTAACATTTGAGATAGAGATACTTTTTTTGATCCTGAGGAAAATTCAAGTTTTGCTGCAGATACATTTCTACTGCGCTTCTATGTCGTCGTATTTGTGTCAAAATTGTGTCAAATGTCCCAGTGCAGGTAAACAGAGGACTGTGTTTTGTGTTTCTCTAGGTTATTTTGAAGATTATTGAAGCTCATCATGATGGACCAGACTTCCCAAGTGTGGCACGTGCCTATTGGCCCACTAGAAGATGCTGGGCCCCTGCAGAAAAAGATCTCCATAACCGGCCAACCAGAGTGCTCCATCTGCTACAACAGTTACGACAACATATTCAAGACACCCAAACTCCTGGACTGCACCCACACCTTTTGTTTGGAGTGCCTGTCTCGTCTCATGGCGGTGTCCATTGACCAGGACGACGCGGGGGGTAGCACCTATCTTTCGTGTCCGTTCTGTCGTCAGCCCACCGTGCTCACAGCGGCAGGACCCCCGGCTTTGACCACGAGCCGTGAAGTTCTCAACAGTTTACCTACGCACCTACAACACGAAGAGACGGTGTGGATGGAGGGACAAAAACTATGCTATGAAAGAAGAGACTCTGCTAACGGGGAGCCGGATAGCCCCACTGCGTTCTGTATTTGTATTGACATTGGGGTGAGTAAGTCTGTAGACATCCCACCACAACCCCCAACCAGGTCAATGGGGTTTTTTAGCAGGGTTTCTGATTGGAAGCGCATTGTGTTGTTTACACTGGCGATGGTTTTATTAGTGGTGGTTGTGCTATGGCCTCTGCAGTGCGTTTTTACCACAGGGAATATGCGCTGTGTGCCCCCCAAAACCACCCCGGCCCCCACCATGGCCTTCCCCTTCACACAACAAGGGGGGCTCAAGTAAAAGGGAGCCACCCTCTCAAAGCGGCCCTCTCTCATTATTAATCTGTTTTCGTTTTTTCTGTTCATTCTTATAGCAGTCACTAACGTCTCACATTGTTGAAATAATTGAAGGTTAAAGCTGTGTTATTTAGCTTTTCTGATATTTGCACAGATATGTTATTGCTTTGTCTGAAAAGTTCCACAGTACAGCATTAAACTGAGCTATCTTCATAGAGAGAAACAGGTAATGCTATCAGGTCAAGTTCTTATTATTCTTATTTATTTATTTTTTCTTTCACTTTTTTCATGTATTCTCTCAGCAATAATACACCTGTAATTAAAAAATGAAAGATAAGTTACAATAGAACATTCCAGAGAAAGCAATACCATCTTCATGGAGTATAATTTTACATAATGCACCTTTAAGACTGATAATGATAGTGGATCTTTAATGTCTAACCTTCACCAGAAAAGTTGCACAGTGCACCTTTAACTAAATTAAAATGCAGTCAAATTAAGTCAATCCTTCACTTCAAATGACTTTTCAACATTATATTAGAAGGCATTTTTTGTAACTCAGTTCAAATTAGTTCTTTATTGTGCATCCATTGTGTTATTTGACTTCTGACTATCTGATAGCAAAAGCAACAATTTGTCTTGCAAGATAACACCTTTATTGTTAAGCTGTATCAACGACTTTAAAATACACACAAATAAATACATAATGTTTTTTCAAATGTCACTCTGGCCATTTTTCTTGGAAATATCACCAATTTGCTTCGTGGGACAAAAACGGCAACACCAACCAAGAATTTCCAAGGACTTCACATTGTTTCCCCTCTCTTTGTCTCTCCGTACTGAGACATGAACTACAGGCATCATCACATATGTTTCTTGCACTTTAATCAACCGCTGTGATCCGTCATGATCTTGGCAAACACACAAACGCAAAGGAATCAATTTTTCCAAGTGTCCTTAAACGTGACATTCACACACTGACATTTACAGATGAAATGTGAACTTTGCTTTGTGCGGTTGCCTGGAAATCCATCAGAAAAAATACAAAACTGATGAACTGTTCATTCTGTACATATTTTTTTTAATGTTTTTGTTTACAAAATAAAGAAGTTGAAAATTTTGAAATGCTTTAAATTATTTTTCATACATTTTTTCATCCAACAAGTTATGATGTTGACAGTCTGGCTTTATGGTCCTGAGATTTCCTGGAGGAGGTGTGCCAAGGAAAAACACACGCAAAGGAGATAAGCGTGACCCAATTATAATATTGTAGCTTGTAATAAAAACATAACTTCCTTATCCAACACAGTAAACAAAATCCAAAATAGAAAAATGTAAGCCGCTAATTCAAAATCTCTCTCTAAATAAAAGGTGTGACAGTAAAGCAGGGGAGAGTTCACGTCAAGGCTGCAGGGGTGTTTACTTTGTATAAAAACAATTAACATCAGGAGAAGGTAAGCATAATGCAAAAAGTTAGAAATGCAGGGGGAAAAAACTACTTTGAAAGTCATTATTAAACCAGTGACGTCAAGAAAACTCTAGATAAGAGTTCATTATTATTTAATGCCATAAAATAACCAAGCCCTGGAAACTAATCAATTATTAGAATGACGTATGAGTGATGATGAATGATGCCATATCCGTGATCCGTGATCCGTGACCCCTGACACAGTTACAGAAGAGTCTTTTGTAACTTTTCAGAAGGGGGTCCATCACCTTCCTGTTTCTATGGCCGTGCCATTGCTCTACTTCAAATGTTCCACAATATGACATTAAACAGATCTACCTTAAATTTATTCAATTAGAGGTGGTTTTATAGCTCAAAAATACATAGAAAACCAGGCATTCTGACAGTGAGCGGGATCGCCTCTCCCCAGGTCTGGCTAGTATCTTGGCCTGGCATATCCTGGTCTCCATGATGATGGTTGAATGAAGGTTTAATGCCATACTGTGACACATTCCAGACAAAGCAATAACATCGCCATGGTGAAAAGCAGGTGGCAGACCCTCCACCAGAAAAGTTACACAATGCAGCTTTAAGTAATATTTTTATTGAAGTAACAGTACTGTTACTTGAGTAAAAAGTCCTGATTTACTCTTCCCACTGTGAGTTTACAAGTGAAAAAAGCTTTATGTTGACAATATTAAATAATTTGAACATTTGTGTTTCTTGCACCACACTTCCAGATATGATTTGCTCTCATTTCATACTACTCACTTTTATGTCTATCCTTTGAAAAAACAAATTTTATGTTTTACTTGGTGTTTTTGTCCTTCCTGAATTACATTCATCATAAATTATAAATCAGATATTATGTTCAAACAGTTTCTCTTTAAGTTACTAATACTTGAAGTACTTCCCAAAAACTTTTTTACTCTTACTTGAGTAATTTCACTATTACCACTAATTTGTACTGCTGTACTACCACCTCTGCTTATAGTACATTACAATTCAGTTGTAATTCAGTTGCTCCCTCTAGTGGATGCTACATGGTACAGCACTCTGAATCTCTTTTTCTTTGTAACGTAAAGGCATTGGAAAATTAATAATTGTCCATTAATTCAATAACTTTCTAGGTATACAACATAGTATAACTGTAAAAACTATTGTAATTAGTAAACATAAACATAAGCATCAAGCAAGATTTTTATCATTCTCATTTGGAAATAGTTATGTTCATAAGATAACATAAAACAAATAGATCATCGTTGCAATAGCTTTTTATTAGGGTTTGGCAAGTCAGTAAAATTTCTCACCAAATAAAAGTTCTTACAGATAAAACACAGCATTTTCCTTTCGCTGTAGTCCAGCCCAGACTACAAATACACACAGGTCTATAGGGCAGCATGACATTCTCACAGTCAGTCCACATCCACACAACCTGAGGCCAGGCAGAGTGCAGTTTTCAAGTATCAATGTTTCACCACAACACAACACAAAGTATTACAATACACTCAAAAACAATAAACAAGTTCTCATTCATCGCACAAATCCCAGTCAAAGAGGAAACAGCAGGATCCAGCACACAGCTACAGCCAGCAGCAAAGTCCTTTTTAGAAAACTTCAAAATAACATGGTAACGGTGATGAGAGAGGGAGCAGCAGGGGGTGTGAGCAAAAAAGAAGAGTTTTATGTGTTTATGTTCCACCAAAGCTCCGAGGCTCAATCATTTTCATACCTTAAACTGCAATAGTTCATGCACATATTAAATATACTTCATTTATTTGTAATTTGCGCAGCATAGTGGTGGTGATACTCTGATTATTTGTAAAATGTACAGCATTAATCTAAACAAGACAGGCATGTTTCAGTGGTTTTATTTAACACTGCCTTTAGTGCAGATTGTCTGGGTGTTTCATTTAAGGAGTTTGATTTTAACAACAGATAATGGGCCTACATGATATTCACATAGGTTTAGCATCTGGATCTTAATGAGACACCTGTATTTATGTTGGGTTACATTACTCTAGAGACCAGGTGTATAGAATATCGAGTGGCTGGTTTCATCTGTGAAAACGTTTAGGATCTGAATAGGAATGGTCCTGCGTGTCCTTTGCCAGCACCTTTACATGTGTGGATATTTCAGAGCTCACTCTATAAATAACCTACAGTCTGTGTGAGCCCAGGGCTCAGCTCCAGGCTCCTTATCACATCAGTGACGTGGTCTACTCTCTACGGCATCATCCAGCCTGGATTATGGCCATCTTCTAAATTACTTTTTGGAGACAAATCTATTCTTCAATCTGGGCACACGGCCATCTGGCTCACAGTAATCGTGCAGTGTCCCTCGTTTCCTTTGACCATCTCAGACAGATGTCCAAGTGCTTCAGACGGGCTGATAATCAGAGACAAGCCTCGGACCACTACACACTTGACACAGTCCCATTCAGGAATTACAGCATACTACACTGCACAGCTTTAAATATCAAGGTCTTACAGTACAGCTGTTTATGGCACATGGGTGCAGTCAAATTCAGCTAAATGGCTCGCCAATAGCTCTGAACTACTGTTGGTAATGAGTTCCTTCTATTAATGATGTAGTTAAATTTGTGTTATTTTTGTGGATTCTGATGTTGTTTACATTGTTCAAATTTTGTGCCTTTTCTTTGTGGTTATGGTTACACAAATTTACCTAAGTCAGCAAACAAACAACAATTAAACACAAAAATCTAATGAGTAATGGAAACTGGCACTGAAACATGCTCCTTGTCCTCATGTTTACTAGATTTTCATAAACATAAAAATCATACCATCAGATCCAACCACAAAAATAGAACAATGGACAAAATAATACAAACAAAAATTAAAGTTTTTGGGTGACCATTTGAAAGCAATGCTCAAATGCCCTCTGGATACAGCATAAACTCTTTCACTTCAGTCCTAAGTTTGGTGAAAGAATGGCTTTAGTCCTCCACAGTCAAACACACACATCCAAATGCCCAGGTTCAGACACAGTGCTGAGAGGAGGGGCAGACAGCTTAGTCCTGATCTCTTCAGTTTAGATCAGGCTCCACAGTGAATGTTCCAGGACAAGGCACTTTTATGGGGCAGAAGAGAGGCCTGAGGAGAGGCATGCAGCAGTGAGCGGGAGAGCCCTGTCCAATGTCCACTGCAGCGGGGTCAGGAGCACGGCCAGTTCCTACTACTCCTGGACCAGACCTGGACAGCCGAGACAGGGCCCATCCAAGGAACCACCCAGCAACACCTCTGGAATACAAGCAGAGGAAAACTACTTGATTATTTATGTTTTCATTTGGTTGTTTTTTTCTATTTTTCATTTGTATTTTGAGTGTGTGTGTGTCGTTTTGAATTTTAAAATTACACATAACGAAAAAACTAAACAAAAAAAAACTCACACTACCCACCCCTCTCTCCACACTCATCAGTCACAAAATTACACCCACACAAAAAAAGAAAACACTGGGCTCACAAATACTACAAAAGTAAAAGTCAGTCAAATCTGGTCGGTTTGTAATGTGTTTTTAATATCTTTCTTATTCGGTAAAGCACTTTGAATTACTTTGTATACGAATTCTGCTGTACAAATAAACTTGCATTGTCACTGAACAATACTGTGGTAGCAATGAAAAATATATGCATAAAAAAAACTGTGCTTGACTGTGAGAAGATTGCTAATAAAGATCACATACTGTGGCCAATACGAATAACAAAAAGGACATTAAGGCAAACACTGAAGGGCCCGTATTATTTTCTGATTTACGTTGTAATGGTTGTCGTGGTTGGCCAAACTTTTTTTGTTTTTGTTTTGTTCATTGTCTTTTTCCAATAGTTATGTGACGTTATCATGCGATTGATAATTGATTGATAATTGGTTGTATTTAATGGCATCTGTGTGTCCTGTTTCACCCATATGCCCCGACGAAGACCATCTTGTGGTCAAAACGCGTAGCGGTCCCTTCATGCAATAAAGAACTTTTAATATATTTAGTCGGAGTGTCTCGGATTTGTACCTTGTCCACTTTTACATTATCAAGTAAGAGCAACTTTCTGTTTAAAGACTACCGTTTTAACCCTCCTAGAGCACCTGTACTGCTATTTTTTAACTCTTTTATGACCCACTGAAGCACTCTACCTTTTTTCTTCACCTGATGTATGTTGTAATGTTGTTTCCTCATCATCAGCATATCTGGAGTGATGGAATAGTGTTCTTGGTGCTGCTCTATGTCACTGCAGTTTGAGATCAGGGGACTGTGGTTTGTTTGGCAAAGTGAATGTTGAAAACATATTCTTGATTTGAATGGCATAAAATGTGGAATTCAGAAAAAGGAAAACTCCAAAACTATACTCTGATATAGTAAAAGTAATTTTGTATGACAAGAACTCCATCTAGAAACTCTTTCAATGAAAACAGTGACAACCACTGTCAAACCTGCCAAGTCCCTCTCTTTGCTTCTTACGGAATCCCCATCTCCACTTATTTTGCACAGTAAATTTATTAGAGTTTCAACGTAAAGGTGTCTTTTCATGTGTGGTGTGAGGTAGTATTTTCAAGGCGCTGTGCCACCTCGGTTCAACCTGTAATTTCAGACCTCAATAGAGCACTTTGTATCTCAACAATGAATCTTGCGTTGCTTCAGACTCTCATTTAGAAAACCACTCAGACAGACACCCACAGTCCAGCAGCCTGCCACTTCAACTGCTCAATACACAGTTACTTTAAAGTATATGACGTTTTAAAGTATTCAGGGTCATATTTGTATCTTATATAGTAGTAATGTTTTTATGAATCTTACATGCCAGTTTCCAGTCATCTAAAGGTCTTATATTATGCAAAACTGACTCTTTTGAGCCATGGTAAAATGTTGCTACCTCATCAAATACATGTCTGGACTTGTGTTTTGTTTCATTCATACGTTTCAGTAATCATTTATTATTAGTTTGATGTGATGTAATGAAGCTGTTAACAGACACCTTTTACTTTAAATTCAGTCAAGATAGGTAGATTCAGGGATGAAATTATCCACATAATTATAGTGAAGGTGTATGGAGTTTATTGAGATCGCAAGGTTTTCAGTTTGAGAGAAAAACTCAGCATAAATCTGCAGGGTTTGTGTGTTAAACATGTGTAAATAAAACAAAACACAACTCCAGGTCTGTTTTTGATGAGAAAACATTATAACAGATCACAAAACAGTGTAATATGGGCCCTTTAATAAACACTGGCTCTCCTATCAACATTTCTATCAACAATTCTTAAATTTCAGCCAGCATCTTTTTGGTTTGGTGCCTTATTACACCCTGCTACCTTTAACTCTCAACCACCTCTAAAGGAATCCATCATCCAGCCTAATGTGAACTGTCCCATTAAAGGAGATGGATTAAAGGATTTATCATCATCAAAAATATGATAGAAAAAAAAAATCTACCTATTCTATGGTATGAATCATTTATTGTTTTGGTAAACGATAATGTCACACCAAAAACAGCATTTATTTCCTTAAACAAAAATTAAATAAGAGAGAAGTGATTACTTTCTGGGCCAACCTTCACTAGTAAATGTTCTTATTATCAGTGGTCTTATTATCAGTTTATGAATTTATATGTCCAATCAAGATATTGACTAAACCGATATTTGGAAGCATTTTTTTCAGTATCGCCACTGATATCCAACACCAGTAAATAAAAAAAGAGAGAAAAGAAAATATAGTCTCTTTTACAATACTCACAGAGAAGTACAACATGACCTACGCCATCCTAGTTCTACCTCCTGGTGTTACTGCTGAATGATGTTTGCGGAGTTTTAAAGTTGATGTTCTCGTACACACTGGATGCATCATCATTTGTCAATCTAGAATAAAACACACAAAATTCAAATTCAAAAACAAGATGGAGGATTTCACTCAAAACCAGCTAGTAAAAGATGCATGTGTTAACTGTAGTATACTTTGGAGTAACTTCTCACTTACACAGAAGATGATCGTGAAGAGGCCATGTTGCTTTTGGACCTGGAGTTTGTCATGTGGCCATATTTGATATTGGAGTACTCTCTCTCCTTCATCTTATTCCTCTGCAAGCAAAACAACAGAAAATAAATCTAGAGCTGGAACCATCAAATGACAGCAGGAGGAGGAAGAAAATATTTAAAATCTGCTTTGTAAAATAAACAACTAAATCGACACCATTTCCTCATATCATGAAAATCCTGAAATATCACTGAAAATGTGAAAAAGAGAAGTTTGGAAATAAATGGTAAGCACTTAATAAAGCATGAATAGACACTTAATTCATAAAGAACAATTAATTTATTAAAAATTGTCTAAGTCTAGTCAATGCTTAATGAATATCTTAATAATAGATAAGGTTTTTCATGCAATTTTCTCACACAAAATATACTAAAATAAAAGCATTTCTTTGCATTTTGGCTGTTTGCACTACAGAGAAAAACAAAAACATGTGTCTTAACAGTGAGGCTCAGCTCTCCACAACGCTGCAAAAAAGTATTGTTTATTAAAGGTACATGTGGTGGGGGGTTCGCCACCTGCTGGTCTCCATGGAGATGTTACTGCTTTGTCTGAAATGTCTCACAGTGTGGCATTCTAATTTAATAAACCAGGTCCAGTTACTGGTCAAATGTGTGGACTCTGCTCATAGAAACAAGAAGGTGAAGGAAAAGTTAAATAGTGCACCTTTAAGGCTAATTAAGTCATAATTATAAAAATACATACATGTTTACATAGGCCTACACTTGCCATATTTTACCTATTTTGAGTTTAACATTAGACAGTCAGATGATACTAACTAAAACACGCATCTTTTTCTTCTGAACTTCACCCATTAGTATTCCACAGCCATCGATCCCCTCCCGTACCTGCTCCTCCTCCAGCCTCTTCTGTACTGTGTCGATGTACTGCTGAACTGCCATGTAAATAAACTTGTATTGGGCTTCGGTTTGGACCATCCCAGACCTCTGCTGTCGTACCCACTGGATGGTCTTTGGGATGTCGATGTCACAGTCCAGCCCTGAGACACACACAGAGGACTTTAATGCACACAGTGTTCCCTATGGAAACGTCGATTCACTTAGGATGGCCTACCTTGGCGGTTAATAATGTCAATGAGGATGTCAATGACGATAATGGTGCCTGTCCGCCCGATGCCAGCACTGCAGAGTTAAAAGTGAACATGGGACAACTCATTTAACAGACGTGTGCTTGTAGGGATGTCAGATTCAGTTTTAGTGTTACAGTTATTGCGAGAAAAAACATCACAATATTACTTTCTTTCATATTGTCAAATAAATCACAGTTCGTTTAGTGCCTTATGAAATTGTATGATATACAGTACAAACAGACACATACAAAAGCACTTTCTCTAGTTTCTCATTTTCCTTTTTCCTTATATTGCCATTGTTTGATAATGCAATGTCCACCACACGGCTCTGCTCTCTTGCTTATCCACCACCACTATGTCTGGTTGGTTCGCCATCACCATCCTGTCAGTCTGTATCTGGACGTCCCACAGGATCTTGGCTCGGTTGTTCTCCACAATCTTTGGAGGTGTTTCCCACCTTGATCCTGGGGTTTCCAGCCCGTACTCTGCACAGATGTTTCTGTACACTATGCCTGCCACTTGGTTATGTCGCTCCATGTATGCTTTCCCTGCAGTTATGTGCTGGACCGTCTCAGGAGCCTCTTTGCACAGCCTACACCATGAGTCTTGTCTGGTGTGCTAGATCTGGGCCTGAACATCTTAGTCCAGAATAGTGTGGTACTAGGAACAGCAAAGACACTGTGCAGAACTCTCAGGCTCCCAGGGATCTGGTAGAGGACCAACCACCGTGGAAGGTAAAAAAGCACATTTTTTTATAATATGTGGACCCCTACCAACACTTAATTTATAACTTCTGGCCCTGCTCCAATTGAGTTTAAGACCCTTGGACTAGAGGGTAACTTTCTCCCTAAATTCAAAATATTATCATGTGCATGTGGAATTATGTATGTAAATATTAAACACACTCAACCCTTTAGCGTTTATCACCAATGACTGAAAATGTAGTTAGTTTAAATCCAACGACAGGATGAGCAACTGACAAATCAGTAATAGAATAAAAATATAAAAAATAGCAATATATACAACACACATGAATAGAGATGATTATAAATGCTGACCTAACCCTAACAGATGGATAGGGCTCATTTTGTGTTAAATCAATAATAGTATGTGTGTGTGTATATATATATATATATATATATATGATATATATATATATATATATATATATATATATATATATATATATATATATATATATATATATATATATATATATATATATATATATATATATAATACATACATACATACATACATACATACAGTTATTTTATTAATTATATATATATGTACACAAATCACCAAATCACACCAGTATCATATCGGTGTATCTCTAATCATAGTAATTCACTAACCAATTAATCTGAACTGCTCTACTAGTAGTGAATATATATTGGAATACATGTGTCTTTGATCTATCTACTTTTGACTGTCTCTATACACTACCTGCAGTGCACCACGATGGGCCCTGCGGTGGGCATGGTGCTTTGAGTCCGATTGACCTCCTCTAGGAACCACAGCACTCCTCCAGGTTCATTTGGAACACCGTGGTCGGGCCACGTCAAGTACTGGTAGTGCCAAATATACCTCACCGGCTCCTTCTGAATACACCAGACATTTATTTATGTAAATACTTCAGTAACACCCCACCAAAAACACTATTTAGGTTAGACTATTTTGTCATACAAATGTTAGAAAAAATAACAAAAATAGCAAAACATACATTTTTTAGCTTTTCCCAACTAGATACTATTTTCTCTTTTTTCTTATTCAGTCTGTCATGTCTGAAGCAGCAGTGCAAAGCAGCAACAGAGATACAAAACAAAAATTAAGTAAACACAAGAGTTGTGGAACAACTCTGCTGTATGCACTATAGTGTCAGAAAATTTTTTAATGACTGCTAAGTTTAGTATTAACATCCAGAAATCTCCACTGGTTTAGCATTAGCCTAATTGAAAATGATTAACTGATGATTTAATGATTTGAGATGTGATGACATAACCCCAAACTCTACTATTTTGAAAGTTCAAATACACATACAGTTTGTGATGATTTATCATTCAATCTAGGTAGGTCAGATACGATGTTATACTGACCCGGTCCAAGCGCGTCACCTCCAGCTTTCTCAGAATGTAGTCCTGGGCTGGTCTCTCATCCACGTTCCTCACCAGGATCCTGCTATACTCTTTTGTCCCATGGAGATCGGGCCAGTACCGCACACACTTGTTCTGTTGGGGGTTGGAGGGGCAGAGAGAGGGGAGGGGAATGAATAAGACAAAGTAGAACACATCCCAAGCTGCTTTCCAATCAGCTTAAGTGTCATACTATCCTCGCGTCATCAGCAGTCTGTCTCAATGGGCTTATGTTCTCTAGTAACCCTGCTGTGTGAGGATGTGTAAACACTGTAGTAAACACACAGTCTAAATGGTTTAAGCAACATAAACTGGCATTTTAAACTGAATCTGTACTGATGCCAAAGTTACATGTTAAGTAAGCTAATAAAGATTTACTTCTGTGAGCTTTAAGACATTATAATGTTGCTACCGCCTCAGAAACATACATGGAGTTGTGTTTTGTTTCATTCACACATGTTTGAGTAATCATTTGTTAATCTCTTCAAAGCTCAGATGCTTTGTTCCACCTTGTGATGTCATGAATAGGTAGTTTTCAAGGTAACAGCGACCTTTCACCTTTTCGAGCGAAGAACTGTGTATTAAACATGTGTGAATGAGACAAAGTAAGTAAGTTTGAGATAGGGAAATAAGTATAGTAAATACTTTAAACAACAAGAAGTCATGAGTTACACAGTTTTAACACATATTTTAGAAGACCACTACGTGCAGTTACTCAAACTACCAGAGAACATGGTAAAAGTAAATGTTGGTTTATTGTGAGGAACCACACATGACTAAGCTAAAGTTAGGAGCAGTTACAAAAGTACTACTACTACACAGAAGTATGAAAACCTCACCCGTCCTCTCTCAGTTTCTTTGGTTGTCATGACAATGACCCGTGTGTTTTCCTGATAGACCATCTTCCAGAAGTCCAACACAGTGTTCTGCAGACAACCCTGTGTGGCTATGAAGACTTTAGCCTCATCTCCGTGACGCCCGTCTTCATGGAAACCCTGGACAACAGAAGGATGAGTAACACCACCAGAAACTTCACCTGACACTCAACATAATCAAAAAATATATATAAATAGTAAAGACATCACTCCTTCTTTTAAAAACGCTCTCTACTATTCAGCTACTTACTTGGATGTAATTGGCATTAATGTAGTCAGACCCGAGAATTTCTGGGTCACTTTCCCGGATTTCAACACGTGTGGTATCAACTAGAAACCCAAAAGCACATTATTAATACGTGTGAGTATCAGTCTAAAATGAGACTGCCATAGATAAGATATTGCATTGTTATGTCTTTGTGCATTGTGGTGATAGTTTCCACAGGAAGCTGGAATGACAGGAAGTGGCAGTGCTGTCGTGACTCACAGGGGAGGATATTCTTGTAGCGGTTTTTGCTCTTGTTCTCTGCCTTCTGGCCTTCTTTCCGGGGATACAGCAGTTTACACTCCTGCTGCTGTAGTACCTGAAGATAAAAGACAACAGAAGATCAAAGGGTTTTAAATGGTGCAATCTTTCAGGTGGTACAGTAAAATATTATAATAAAGGTCCTATAATAAGCAAAATTGACTCTTGTGAGCTTTAAGTGATGTTAAAATGTTGAAGACCTCAGCCTAAATATGCAGAGTTTGTGTGTTAAACATGTGTGAATGAAATAAAACACAACTCTGGGTACGTTTTTGAAGAGGAAACAACATTATAACATAAATCAGAAAATTGCCAGCCCTTTAACATGTGGGTGTGCAGTGAAACATTAAACAAATCAAAAACAACTTAAGTATATATGAGTATATCTATGGGTTAGCAAGATACTACCAGTATTTTCGGATACATTTTCAGAAATCAGGCAAATTTAGGTTAGCAAGTAACAAATTCATAACCTTTTAGTGCTCACTTTTTATTAAAAAGTCCACACAAATACCAAACACATCCTTGTCTTAAAAATATACTTTGGAAAGGGCAAACTCCTGACAACTTTGTAAAAACTGAGCTGACTTGTCACTGAGCTCGTAAATACCAGCAGATCTATCATACACGGTGACACTCATTGACTTTACACTGAGGATATGAATGACATTTATGACTGGGGCGCTGAATAAAAATGACAGAAACAGGAACGTGCCGCAGGCTGGAGATAAGGCCAAGCTCACATCATCGCTCATACACAGAGACGCACTCAACACATCTGACTCTGTTTGATGGACAAGAAAACAAATAAAAAACTATATAGAGATCAATGATTAGCTCTGACACTTTTATAAGGAAGAATAGTGTATTTTTAATGTGCTACTCAAACTGTCAAAAGTCAGATTAGGCTTGATACAGTACTTTTTTCAGTAAAAGTACCTCATAATAAAACTGCTATATTTTAAATGTAGGCTATTGTGTAGCAACTTTATGATACTGGTATTGAATATCAGAGCTGTTATTGACACTTTTGATGGATCAGATATTGGTTCAGTCGATATCAGTTTAGTCAATATCCTATTTTGCTCTATAAATTTGTGTAATAAGATAAATTACAGGATAATCTCCTAATATTTTTATTCAACAGAAGAAAAATTTGGATTGGTGCATTCCTGCTACTGTGTAAAGATATAGTAGATCTACAATGACGTAATATTTGCACCACAGCAAATTTACGTAACTGTTGGATACTGGCGGTCAATCAACCAAAAGTCACATGAACCTAATGCCCTTGAGCCTCTATCAAGCTTTGATTTGTACTACTCAGTACACTATGGTACAATTACTATTGCAGTAGTAAAATGTGTAGTATTAGCAGTAGCAGCAAACTAATCTTATAAGCTTATATTATTGTGTGTGACTTATAATTATTTCTCAGCCATGCCCTCTTTTCATCTGGATGGATTGAACACAAAAATGATATTGCTTTGCTTCGAATGTTCCACAGTATGGCATTATTTATCTCAATGTGGCCATTAGGCAAAGTTAGGCAACTGCACTCACAGTAAGAGTACATGACAATAAGACTAATGCAAAATGTTTAATACCATACTACAGGACATTCTAGTCAAAGAGACAAGCAGGTAGTAGACTGTCCACCAGAAAAGTTACTTAGTGTACCTTTAAAGTTAGTTACCTCAAATTCTTCCCAGAATCCTTGCTTGGGTTTCTCCGAGTTGTCAGCTACTTTGTTGAGCTCTCGTACCCGGTTTTCTATGTTGGCTGCATTTATTCTGGTAGCATTAAATGGCTGGGGGAAAACAGTAATTGCAGATTGTGATTACTTTAAATGTAACATTGATACATTAAAGGTCCTATATTACACAAAATTTTCTTTTTTGAGCTTTAAGTCATGTTATAATGTTGTTTCCTCCGCTTTTGTTTCATTCACACATGTTCACATAAATTTAACAGCTACATTTGACCTCTAGTTCAGTAGAAATGGGCAATTCTATAGGTGAAATTATCCAAATGATTCTAAAGAAGGTGTATGGAGTTTAAAAACACAGTGGAGCTCCTATCACATGACATCACAAGATGGAACACAGTGTTTTCTGTTTGAGCGAAGAAGCCTATGCACGGTTTGTGAGTTAAACTTGTGTGAATGAAACAAAACACAACTCCAGGTAAGTTTGTGATGAAGAAACAACAATATAACATAGGTCAGAAAATAGCATAATATAGTCCCTTGAGGCATTTCAATGTTTGTCAAATATTTTTCTACCTGCTTTAAGTGCACCACAATCCCACTCTTCTCCACCATGGGGTTCTTCTTATAGTGGTCCACCAGGTCTGCCAGCGTGTCAAACCTCTCTCCTCCGCCCACATCGTATTTACCGTCCTGAGAAAGACAGTCTGCATTAGTTAAACAGGTCTCCGCACTGACAGGCCTAACACATGCTGTGGAAAAGCCTATTGACCCAGCTGTTAAATGGCTCGCAGCAAATTCTATCAGGAACACATTAGACTCCACTGCATCAGAGTCTCTCTCAGAACAGAGAGGCTTCACAACAGAAACTGGGAATTTGTACTTTAGCTGGGGAAAATGTAAAAAAAAGGAACATAACCTGGCTAAATAAAGGTTAGTAAATAAATGAAAACATCTGCCTCCAACCTGGGTTTTTATAATTTATTTCTTATTAAGGATGTAACAGTCACTGAAACATTGTGATATTGTATCGTTAAAAAGTCTCACAATTGTAATAATATCGTGGGGCGTCACAATATATTGAATTACAAGTTCCTTTGCTTAAGTGTATTGTTTTATAGTAGCAAAAGCTAAAATACATTTCTGTGCAAACAACATGAAGAAATATGTTTTTTACTTGAATTCTTGGGATTATTACAGTAATGATTCACACCAAATCTTGTCAAGGTATTTTAAAAGCAAATTATATTAGCCTCTCCAAAAAATTGCAATAAATACTGTACCGTGAGATGCATATCGTGAACAGAGAGATTTAGATATTGTTACATCCCTATTTATTATTATTATTATTATTATTATTATTATTATTAGTATTATTAGTATTAGTAGTAGTAGTAGTAGTAGTAGTAGTAGTAGTAGTAGTAGTAGTAGTAGCAGTAGCAGTAATACTAGTAGTAGTCAACCAATCCAACTCCAAAGTGCTGCACAGAGTAGGCACAATATAAATTAAAACATTAAATAAAATAAAGCATAAAATAAATAAATTAGCAAGTCAATAAAAAAACATAAAAGGGCCACACAATTCTCACTCGTGTTAAAAGCCAGTGAGCAAAAGTGTGTTTTTTTAAATGAGTCGTCTTAAAGGTGCACTATGTAACTTTTCTGGAAGATGTTACTGTTTTTTTCCTGGAATGATCTACAATATGGGACTTAATTTAACCATCTTCATGGAGACAAGTAGGCCACATATGCAGACCAAATTAATACTGGTCAGATCTGTGGAGAAGTGGGCCTGCTCACGGTAAAAATGGATGCCTTTACGGTAGTTTTGACACATAAAAACACCTGTAAATGAATAAATGCAAGATATATTTGTTTAATGCCATATTGGGGAACATCCCAGGCAAAGCAATGACATCACCATGAGACAAGCAGATGTCAGATACTCCACCAGAAAATTTTGACAGTGCATCTTTAAATAGCAGCACTTCCTATATTTGTATTTGTACTTCATCAGAATGGAAAGATGTGGTTTCACAATGAAATCAGTGATGGAACAAGATCGTAATAGCCTACTTAGTAATACATCTGAATGTGTTACACTCGATTAAAACAATGAAAGCAGAAATACGGCAGAGAAACTAAAAGTTGTGGTTGGAAAAATGGTTTGGTTTTGCTAACTAAATGGTGACTGACTTTTTACCCACATATAAAGTTTCTGTCTGAATGAAGGTTGATGCAGATTTAATAAGAGAAGGGATTCAAGTGCATTTTTCTCATTATGCAAATCGTGTCTTCAGAGATCAGCTTTTACTTTAGCTCATGATTTTTGTTCAGAGGTAAGTCTATACAATACTTGCAGCATCTAATTTCACACATTTCACAGTTTAAAATATGGGTTTTTAAAGCAGGAGAATTCAATAAAACATTCTAGACCAAATTGATAAAAATATTTATTAATTTTGCTCATGTTTAAGTAGGGGTGAGCCAATAGATGTGTAATGTTGTGACAGTTAAAAGCAATACACTATACTATAGGATGTCTTGTGGGTGTTTTCAATTAGGTCATATCTCACTCAAGTGTCCAGTTTTTATCAGTCGGTTTCAGCAAGTTTATGTCAAAACACTATTAAAGAGCCCATATTATGCTGTTTTCTGATCTATGTTATAATGTTTCCTCATCACAGACATACAAGGAGTTGTGTTTTGTTTCATTTACACATGTTTAACACACAAATCCTGCAAATTTGAGTTCTTCTCAAATTGAAAACACTCTCAAACGTCTCTGTCTCTGTCTCAAACACGTGTGAATAAAACAAAACACAAGGTATGTTTTTGAAGAGGTAACAACATTTAAACATGTCTTAAAGCTCATAAAAGTAAACTTTGCATAATATAGGACCTTTAAACTGCTTGAAGGTTGTGTTGATTGTTTTCACATTTCCTCACCTGGTAGCGTATCATAACATGCGTAACCTTGGTCTTGCGATCATTGTCATGTTTTTCTTCATTGGTGAGCACTGACAGCACAAAGTCTCCTGGTTTGCTCTGACTCTCTCTCACCAGGAAACTGCCCGCTTTGCCTTTTTCGGTGAGGAGTTTCTCTGCATCGCGCCCCGACAGATGTCCATGATACCACCTGCATACACACAATATTGACAAAAATTTATATCTGTATTTTTTGCATCTCAGTTACAATATTCAATATTCAGACAACATTTTAACAGTGCATCAGGAATGTGCTAAATGTGTCTGAAAATGTCTTGGTTGAGGTTCAAGTTTAACACAAAATGTGAATGTGCCATAAAAGAAACCATAAAAGGGCAGAAATATCACTTTTTACACATTTGGACAATTACACTAGACTAAAGCTGGGAACCGCACGGTCCTTCACAATTCAGGATGATACACAACATAAGACTTATGCTATATACCTCGATATATACACGATACGATACAGATCTCGATACAGTGCACTTTTGGTTCAATACGATATATTTCAAATCGATTCGATATAGTTCAATAAAAATAATGGCTAAATCATGACTGTGATATTAAAAGTCTTCATTAAACCACTTCTTGTGCAAAGTTAATATGAAACACAAACATTTTAATCCTAAAAACTGTGAAAATGTCAAACGTGTCGCATAAATGAGTTTCCTTCCTCTAAACAAGCAACAAAACTTTAGCATTGTAACAAAATAATTTAGTAAATATACCAAAAAATACTATTGGTGATATATTGATACAGCAGCCCATGATATCAATATTGTATATTCACATTAAACGATACAATATATTGATATTTCTATATTTTTGCACACCCGTACAATGATGTGATATATTGCTGTATTTTGAGAACCAAATACATTTTAGCAACAATATGTCTTTGTTAAACCACTGCTTGTGCAACATAGTGTATCCATAAACAAGTTTTCTTCCACTAAATAAGCAACAGAATTTTACAGCCCACGATAACAATGCTGTGTCACCAAATTCAGTCTCATGATATAGCGATATTTCAATATTTTTGCACACTCTTACATTGGACATTTCACTTTTTGAGGTAGTTAGATTTAATTTAAAGCTGCACTGTGTAACTTTCTCTCCATGTCTCCATGAAGATAGAAAGCTTTAATACCATACTGTGTAACCTTCCAGACAAAGCAATAACATTTCCATGGAGAAAAGCATTTGACAGACCCTCCACCAGAAAAGTGGTAAGATCCATCTTTAACATCTAAAACAACAACTGCAATGTTTTTTTATGCATCTCTCATCTCTTTTTACACAAATATCTTCTTAATTTCAAAATACAGTTTGCATGAAAATAAATCATCTATCTTAACTCTACAAAAGTTCAAATCTTTGGTCTACTTTGTGGCATTTAACTTGCGTCTGGCATAAGGTCCGTGGTGGTTGCATATATTTCGAGTGCGGACTCCCACTCAACATACAGACTGTCTGCTGTGCGTTGTTTATGTGCTTGAAGCTGATAGTCTTTTCCTGTGTGTGAGGGAGCATGTGTAGGAGGCTGTGACATGAGGCACACGTCGAATGGAAAAACCGCACCAACCAAAAATACTAAGTTGTTTTGAACCTAGAGATACGTAGACAGTATGAGAGGTGGTATTTTAAACAACACGATGTACCTATAATGTAAAATATATGCCTAAGAATAAATGTAAAAGGATTAAACATATGCGCGGATGTTTCTAATGAGCGTAAACACAGCATTTGAGAGAGATGAAGGTGGTAAATATTTATAGATTTTGGCTGCTTATCCATGCGTGGGTGCATGTATACACGACACAGCTAAACACTTGGTGCATTAGTTGAGGACAAACAGGTGAGAGGTTCATATGGCAACACACTGAAAAAAGTTACATCTTTCCAAGTTAAAATGACTTAAATTAAAGTTTTTATATTACACAAAATTGACTCTTGTCTTGTCTTGCTTTAAGTCATGTTAGAATGTTGTTACCTTATCAAAAACATACCAGGAGTTGTGTTTTGTTTCATTCACACATGTTTAAGTAACCCTTTATTATTAGTCTGTCTACATCTCCAAAGCTAAAAATGCTCTGTTCCACCTTGTGATGTCATGTAGTGGTAGTTTTCAAGTTAACAGCCCCTTTTACCTTTTGTTCAATAAAGATTAGAAATTCCAGGGCTGAAATCAGCCAAATGATTTTAGTGAAGATGTATGGAGTTTAAAAACACAGTGGAGCACTTCTTGTAATTAATCAAATCATGACATCACAAGGTGAATAAAGTGTGTTTAAGATTGAGTTGCAAGATTGAAAATATATTAAAATCTACAACAAAAGTGTATATATATTACGTCTCTGTTCATGATAACATTTTTAATCTGATCTTTCTGTGGTTATTTGAATAGTTTTAATTAAAGACAATACGCAATATACTTATTTTGCATACCTACAGAACAACAATTGTGAAATTATACATTTTTCAGTTTTCCACCTCTGCATGATTAACTTTTTCCTTCTGTCTATGAGCTGTAACTAGTGAAAACACCAATGATGTAATGGTTTAATAAAATGTACTCCTGTAAGTTGAAGCTTTTATAATTATTTCTTTGATCCTCAGCTAAAGTATTTCATTTGCATAATCAAATATAGTCATAGTAGTGCTTTTTTCTATTTTACTTCTTCTTTAAATCTAAAGATATGGTTTTATCTATACAAAGTTCTGTACTTAGAAGTGCAGTCGATATAGGTCATAAACCTGTCTCCTAGGTTACCAGTCTAGAAATACAGTAAGAGACTGACCTTTTCAAAATGCATATTTTTACACTGCATTTTTCCCACCCACAAATCAATATATGGTACCACTTTATAATAATTATCTTAATCAGCCTTTGTTTGTTATTATAAATATTATTATTTACAAATGTATTTTATTTAATTTATTATTAATATGTTAACGTTTATTTTTCTTTGATTACACTTGTTTACAATATTACGTTGTTTGTTTTAGCATACGTGTGGGGATAAAACAGGGAAACAAACCATAAATATTGTGTCTACTGTAATGTCAACCAAGTATTTTTTGCACTATTTTTTATGTAACTTCTTGGTTCAAGGTCCATCAACAGTTTGTTTCTATGGAGATGTGATTGCTCAGCCTTGAATGTTCCACAGTATGATATTAAACAGTTCAACCTTATATTTATTCAGTTACAGGTGGTTTTATAGCTCAAAAATACATACGAGAGCATGCATTCTTAAGGCCATCACAAACTGCAGGAGAATCTTATAAGATTTTAAATCTCCCATCACAAAGCCTGCTGTGGGATATGGACCACAGGATACAAAGTTGTCAGCCCGCCTCACGTCAGCTGTTTCCTGTCAGGAGTAAAAATCACTCACTCTGAGACTCTTAAGTGTTCAAAATATCAGAGCACTGAACTTCTAGTTTAGACGAATTATTATTTGTGAAATGAGGTGCCATACTTAAGATACATGCGCATTAATTAATACACAGGAGGTTGGCGATAAAGTACACAGGAAGTAGAGTCACTATGGCTAATCTGCAGCTTCACCTCGATCCATGCACTGTGTGGAGGTAAACAGACACACATAAGGAACTACTCATGACTTTTTACTTTTAAAGAACGCCTCAAACTGGATTAACGTCACATGTTCTGTATAAGATGACACAAGTATCAAAAAGTCATCCTTTGTTCATGCTTTATTAATACTATTACAAGTGTAGTGATTATGACATGTCAGTATTTTCTCACTGGTCTGCATGTGGACTCTAGTACCTGTAGTATTTGTATGTTTTGGATGCTGCCTGTGTACCTCTCTGATGTAGGGTCTTTACAGTTGAGCGGGTATTTGAGCTCGATGACATGTCCATTCCTCTCCCGGAGCAGATCTTGTTGCTCGGTGTAATATTGCACCAGCTCGGCCAGCGTGGCAAACTTCTCACCCCCGTACAGGTCATAGTAGTCCCCTGAGTTCTGGATCTTGATGTGGGTCACCTCATCATCCCGCCTGGGCACACAAACACAAAGGGAGTCTCATTATTTATTTATTTACATGAGGAACTACATACATCTCCTGTTCACTCGGTTCAAATGGAAGTCACCCACACACACAAGACCGTTTTTGTGTGAAGATACAATAAAGATTTACTGTTTGATGGTCATATGCAAATATAGTTTAAGGAAAAATATCACATTGTGTTATACATTAACCTACTGCTGATAAACTGAGCAAAATTGTATGCAAATCAGGGAAAGATGATTTAGTCTAAAATTACATTAATTCACTTCAATATATTTTTGTAAAGCCCAAAATCACAACAGTTTAACCAACAGAAAGTCAGAATATCAAACTAAACAAAATAAGAGCATGACAAGTTTTATTTTGTTTTGTTTTTTATCATATCAACCCGTCTTAAGTGAAGGAGAAGAAGGAAGATGTAGATGTTATTAATTAATTGAAAATATAATGATGCTAGAAAAAAAGATTCATAACTGTGGTCTTTACCGTACTAATGTTAACTTGTTCAAAGCTATAGTTTTAAGATCAGTTCTGTTTCAAGTGGAAGAAACAAATCAAAATCGCTTCCTCTGTCAGTATTGTCAGCGTCTGCAGAGCCTCCACATATGAAAACTGCTCTAGGCGTTAGTGGCCGCTGCAGTGCACCTATGATATTTATAATTCATACTATATATTACATTTATATATCAAATCATAATCATATATATTGCTCCCCCAAAATGCATTGATGTATTATGAGCGATATGAAGGCCAAGCCCTTGAGCAAACCTAAACTCCACCGCAAAGAAAACGGGCTCAAAAGAAAATCCATGTGCAAATCCATCTTCATCATTCATTTTAATATCTTAAATAGCTGTTTAATACTTTTCTAGTTGTTGATTGTCAATGGACTGAAGGTGAACAGGATGAAGCTTTCTTTCACCAGTTGACACAACACACCGGGTGAGATCTCAGCAGAATGATCTCCTCAACTGGACTAAATGTGTGTGTGAATACATCTTCAGAACACAGATATATCATATGTTTGTTTGTTATTTAAACAGCTGGAGATGTGCAGTATTGTTTTTGTGTGACAATATTGTTGATGACCAGTATCTGTTAAAAATGGGTTTCTTTTGATCAAAGTTTTGGAAACATGGAAAAGACCGAGCTATGTATAATTGATCAGTGGTCCGATAGCATCATCTGTATTGTCTGTGTGACGTGATTAAATATTTATAAACTGTAAGTCTAAGGTTTGCTCCTCCACCTCACGCATGATATGACCAGCTGACAAACCGCTTGATGATTTCTCAAACCAAGACTGTAAAAGTCAGTATCGCTGGGTTTCAGATGACCTCACAATTTTTAATTCAACAATATTTAAAATGCATGTAACAGGTTAGACTACTCATTTTATTAAAAAACTGTTAAGATCATAATATTTCAGATTTTTGCAAAAACACTCACACTCGTTTTCCCAGTTTAGTCATCTTAGGTTTAAAATTTAACTTTCTGGGTGGAACTGTTACTTCGCAAAACTCCTCTGACACAGAAATTAGTATATGGCTAACACAAACATAAGACAACACCTTTATTTTGCTGAAATAATGTCTAAAGTATCATTTAAAAAAAAAATTGCATGTACATTGTGCCAAACTGTTGGATAGAATTCTCCCTAGTGTGATGTCCTCCTCAGTATGTTTCAATTCGTATAATTTTCAACATATTTTTGTTCTCTTCTTGGTGTAAAACTATAATTTATATTTAGAATAGTTAGAATTCCAACATATTAAGTCAAAATTTGAGAATCATAAATATTGTAGGTGTCACACACACATTATTACAAGTGGGGGACAGCTAAAATTAATATTGTGAAAATGCAGATGTTTGTTGTAATACAGCGAGTTCTGGGGTCGGGTCACTAATTGATGGTTTTCAGATTCTTGAATATGGTAATGTTGTACTCTCAGATAGGAGGCAAGGGCCAGTTTTTCCTCTTGATTACACTGTATTGTACTTTACCATGAAATATTTAAAAAGACAAATTCACAAATGTTGATTCTGATCATTTCCACCCATGATCAGACCCAAGAACTCACTGTATTACAACAGAAATCTGTTTTTAACATGATTCATTTTTAGCTGACCCATATCTGTATTCAACATGATTGGCCAATAGGATGTTGTGATGTCATCTGAAACTCAGCAATAAAAATTATCAGGGTCAACATTTACCTTCTGGATAATTCAGGGCAAAGTACGATGTAATCAATTGGGGATTCTGTCTCTTGCCCCTTATCTGGGAGTATGACATCATCACACTGTAGCGTCTGAAAACCACCAATTTAGAGTGAGACGATTGATACTGGACAACAGCACAAAGGAGAAGTTGTAAAAGGGTAGATTGAATTTATGATTCACAAGTTAAATCTGTCTTTATATAAATACACTGTTTTCCAAAGCCTGTCATTATAATAATTATATCGACTTATCGTTCAATATATGAAGGCAAGGCAAGTTTATTTGACTAGCACAATTCGTACACAAAGCAATTCAAAATGCTTTGCAGAATAAGAAATGCATTAAAATTGCAATACAAACAAACTAAACATAAATAATCATCATAAAATTACAAAAAAATAGAGAGACATTAAATGAGAGAGACGAGTGCAGAATGAAAACCTTTCAGACATATGCAGCTAAACAGAACCGTTTTGTGCCTGGATTTAAACAGTGTCAAAGTAGAGGCCTGTCTCACATCTTCAGAAAGACTGTTCCAGGTTTTAGGTGCATAAAATTGAAACTCTGACTCCCCATGTTTAATACTGACTCTGGGCACCAGCAGGAGGCTGGTCCCTGAGGTCCTCAGAGTGCGAGATGGTTCATATGACACTAACATGTCACAGATGTACTTTGGTGCTCAGCCATGGAGAGACTTGTACACAAGCAGAGCTGCTTTTAAGTCTACTCTCTGAGGCACAGGAAGCCAGTGCAGAGACCTGAGCACAGGACTTATGTGCTCGTACTTCCTGGTTCAAGTCAGGACCCAAGCTGCAGCGTTCTTGATGTACTGCAGCTGTCTCACAGGATACGCTACATATGAGTAAAAATTTTTTCATAAAAGTGAGAGATTTGCGATATTTTTGTTGTAATACAATAAGACTTGAGCTGTAGAGGATTGAATAACTAATCTCTATAGCTAATTATTGGTTCATTCTACTATTTGTTGCAGCTTAGGACTTTTAATGATACTGTCTATTAAAAAACGGTTTACTGCATTATTCTTGTGACAGTGATATAAAGTAGTTTCAGTATTATTATTTATTGCAGTATATCTCTGTAGCAAGATATCCTGCTTCAAAATCTGTTATAGTGACAGGCTTGTGTTTTCCTAGTACTTTTTCCTGTATAAATAGTTTTCAAAAGAACTCCTGTACAGTCTATTCTTGATTAGCTCTCACTGAAACTTTCTCAGTATAAACTTTTTACTTAATATTATTTTATCGCACATCTTATAAACTCAGGGGTTTAGTGGTTTCAGAAATTGTCTTGACGCACCAAAAACTTCATGGTGTAAGACTTTTGACGGAAAACGCAGTCTTTAGACACCTACATAATATGCTTTGAGGTTTTCAGCTTGTGAGGCTTCAAATGTGAACATGATTCTCGCGCTGAAAAACTCATCTCTGTAATGAACTGGCTTTGACCTTTTCTGCTTTTCCACTAGAGAGGAGACACAAAGACAAGTTATTACAGACTGCACAAATGCACACCGAAAGCCTGCATAGATATTGGGATTAAAAACAACCACTTTATCACACAGACGCACTATTTTTCATAAATCCATAAAACAAAACAATGCAAATGCGGTGACAATGGAACCGTAGTTTTCAATATGCAGGCTGGGATGTGATTGCTGCCCAGGACAAAGTGAGTGCATGCACGAAGACAGATAAGGCTGAACATTTGGTAGTACTTTGCATATTCAAAGTACACTGGCTGTTCTCAAAAGATGTGTACAATGGGAGCGGGCACAGATGGGCGTGCGCGAAGTATCTGTCTATACAAATAGTACATGGTTTATTTGCTGAATAAGGTTGTTGCAGGACTTTTTCAATCTATAGAAACCTGGAGAATGTATACAATGTTGTAGAACTGAAAAATAGGTAGAAAAAGTACTTTTGACTGTATGGGGGAAACTTCTTTTTTGCTGCTTTGGGTGTATCAAAACTTGTTCACAGGGTATACTCAGCACTTTTTTTAATCAACAATGTAACCAGACACATTGTTTCTGTTATTTGTACAGATTTAAAGGTATTTACTTTTTTGATGGAGGGCCTATTACCAACTTTTCTCCACGGAACACTGTAAACCTGAATGTTCAAAGTAATTTAATAGATTATGCTGTGTATAGTCAAATTTTCAGAAATAGACCTACTAACTTAATTATGTCAAGTTGTTGTAATATGTATACTAATATTTTTTGATTAAAGGGAACTATTGTGGGTATAAGTAACCAAAAAACTGAGTAGAATTAAGTAGTTAAAAATAATATGTAATGTGTCTATAATGTAGTATCTGTGTACTATAATGTGTAATGATTGAATTGATTTACTGTGCGCAGATTGCATTCAGCTGGGTAACTCAACTGGTAAATTTCCTGACATTCACATGGGGGATCTGGGTTCAAATCCCCCTCCTAAGGTGTGTATAATGTGTATATACGATGTGTCTATATCTATATTATAATGTGTGTAGATACAGCTGAATGTACTAATTGTGTGTACAAAATCATGAACTATATACGAAACTGAAAATTTTATTATTCTAGTAGTTTGAAAACTCAACTACAAATATTTGAGTTGAGCTAAATGAGCATTTATAATTCAGCTATTATCAAAAGTTACAAGCCATCTAACCTTTTAAGTTCTATAAAACTGTAACTTTTAAGTTCATCAACTTAAAGTAATTGATGCAATCGATTGCCTTAATTTTTTGGAGTTTTG